TCAATAGTAGCAAAATATTTTGAATCAATACTAAAAGTTAAATAGGTAATTTTAGGTTTAGTTTTATCAGTTTCAGAAACCAATAAATTTTTAAGCCATTTCTCTTCTCTACAATCATACATATGAACAATTCCATTTTTAGAACAGACAGCTAAATAATTACCATCAGGACTATATTCAATAAATGTACTTTATATTTGTAATTCACTACCCTTTTCTTTTATTTCTTTAAGTTTATTATGTTTTTCATAGAAATTCCATTCATAAATTTTATTATCTTCACAACTAAATGCAACTACAGGTACATTAGGTCTAACTGATATGGAAATAATGGGTGAAACAATAGATGACATAATTACTGTTCCTTTCTTTTTTTCTTTTTCAATTTCCTAAAATTGTGATGACTTTAATAAAATAACATTAGCCTTATCATCAACAACAATAAAATCTTAACATACAAATGGTTTAGACTTTTTCTAAGATTATTCATCTTTGTCTTTCTCCTCATCAGATTCAGTTTCAAAATCCTCCTAATACATATTCTCATTTGCAAATGATAAATTAGTAATTGATCCTATACATTATATATTTAAACCATTTTATCCAATAACAACATCTTCAAACCATGCTCGTATTCTGAATTTGAAATCATAAAATCTTACAGATCCATTTGATGCTCCAACCACTAAATATCTTCCTTATACTCTTAATAATAATATCTAAGCATTTCCCTTCTTTTATTAAGTTTCAGATTTATTAGCAACATTCATAAGATTCACTATTTTTATTACTCTTCTTTCATCTGGTTATCCATATTCTTCAATAATAAGAGAAACATCCCAAACTATAATATATCCATCTAATGTTCCTGTTACAACATTCTTGTTTTTTGGAATAAATACAGTCTAAGTCAAAACCTTGTTTTTTTGAACTTCAGGACTATAATATTCAAATCCTGCTGCTCCATATTCCCAACTCCAAAAAACTACTCTCTTTTTACCTGTTGTTGCAAATTCAAATATTTATTGCTGATTTTACTTTTGTTCAGCATTATTATTAATTGTAACATAGTATTAATAATCCTTTAATTTATCATCTAACACTGTTGTTCTTAGACGAGGATCTTGAGATTACCAATCCCAAAATGATATAGATTATATTTTATCNAACACTTCTTAATTTAACTCTATTATATGGATCTTAAGTTGGATCCAATACATCATAAACTGCCAATTTCATATCTTCTCCTATAGTGAACACTTTTAATTACACTTAATTCTTTTCATCAAGTGTTTCACCAAAGGCAACTGATTTAATTGGTCCATGATGTACTCTATATTTACCAGCAAATATCCATTCTTTTGATTATTTCAATTGACTATTAGGATCAAAATCAAAATTAAAAACACTAACTGCATAAGATTCATCAATAGTAGCAAAATATTTTGAATCAATACTAAATGTTAAATATGTTATTTTAGGTTTAGTTTTATCAGTTTCAGAAACTAATAAATTTTTAAGCCATTTCTCTTCTCTACAATCATACATATGAACAATTCCATTTTTAGAACAGACAGCTAAATAATTACCATCAGGACTATATTCAATAAATGTACTTTATATTTGTAATTCACTACCCTTTTCTTTTATTTCTTTAAGTTTATTATGTTTTTCATAGAAATTCCATTCATAAATTTTATTATCTTCACAACTAAATGCAACTACAGGTACATTAGGTCTAACTGATATAGAAATAATAGGTGAAACAATAGATGACATAATTACTGTTCCTTTCTTCTTTTCTTTTTCTATTTCTTAAAATTGTTATGACTTTAATAAAATAACATTAGCCTTATCATCCACAACAATAAAATCTTAACATACAAATGGTTTAGACTTTTTCTAAGATTATTCATCTTTGTCTTTCTCCTCATCAGATTCAGTTTCATAATCTTCCTAATACATATTCTCATTTGCAAATGATAAATTAGTAATTGATCCTATACATTATATATTTAAACCATTTTATCCAATAACAACATCTTCAAACCATGCTCGTATTCTGAATTTGAAATCATAAAATCTTACAGATCCATTTGATGCTCCAACCACTAAATATCTTCCTTATACTCTTAATAATAATATCTAAGCATTTCCTTTCTTTTATTAAGTTTCAGATTTATTTGCAACATTCATAAGATTCACTATCTTAATTACTCTTCTTTCATCTGGTTATCCATATTCTTCAATAATTAGAGAAACATCCCAAACTATTATATATCCATCTAATGTTCCTGTTACTACATTTTTGTTCTTTGGAATAAAAACAGTCTAAGTCAAAACCTTGTTCTTTTGAACTTCAGGACTATAATATTCAAATCCTGCTGCTCCATATTCCCAACTCCAAAAGACTACTCTCTTTTTACCTGTTGTAGCAAATTCAAATATCTATTATTGATTTTATTTTTGTTCAGCATTATTATTGATTGTAACATAGTATTAATAATCCTTTAATTTATCATCTAACACTGTTGTTCTAAGACGAGGATCTTGAGATTACCAATCCCAAAATGATATAGATTATATTTTATCGGGTTCTTCCTTTGACAATGTTACCAAATATTGTCCATTCTCACTAATATCCACTGCTTAAACACCATTAGCATGTGGCTCAAATATTGTTCTTCTAGGTACTCCTGTCTTTGCATCCCATATGACTAACATACTATCTGGCCCTGCATCAGCAGTTACAATTATATCCAATTCTTTACAATATGCTGTGCATGATATTTTGTTACACTAAAAATAATATAATATAATACATGTCCTTATAATAATCTTTGTTAATTATTTCCATAATCAAATATTACTCCTGTGTGTGCTGTTGCATAGAATATTTCCTAAATTAAGATAGATCATACCTTACGAGAATCATTAGTAAGATTGTGAACTCCATTTACCATTTTATAATTAAATCCCAATGTCCAAGACAGGTTCAAGGCATTCAATTTTTATTGGTCTTCTTAAAACTCATCATGATATTCAGACATTTTTATTAAAATTATTTAAAATACCCATTTTATATATATTTGATATTCTGAATTTCAACTTCATCATTTTAGAAAATCATTATTATTTATCTATTCAATACTAATTAGATTATAAAGAAATTCTTGTTTAAAATATTGTAGTTTATATATTATTTCTTCATAATATATTTTTATTTCTAAAATATTTAATATCAACATCTAAAGCACAAAATAAAAGTTTGATGAATTTAATTTTCTTATTATTATACTGATTTCAATTATAAACACTATATATTTCTATTTACATCATAATAATATTCTGAGCTATCAGTTTGATGAATATAGTAATTTTTGGATTGTCGATGATTTTTTTAGTATTATTCAAAAAAAAAGAAATTTTTGAAGTGATTTTGGTCATGTTTTATGAATGGACAATTAGTAATTGTTATTCTTTGTTTCATATAACATTTATTTAATTAAGATGAATCCTATTCAATAGGCATGGTTAAAGTTTTTATAACCAGTCTCAGTTGTTGTCAATGAGAAATTGGCTAAAAGATCAGGTAGCTTAATTACACTCAATATGAAGGACTTTTGGGAAAGATTGGTAGATTTTTCCTTATTGGACCAAGAGAATTTGGCTATCATCCAACAAATTAAATGTTCATTTACTTCAACAGAAGAGTACTATTTGCCACAGCCTTTATGGGTCATAAGTACTCAGTATTGAAGTAGAAATATGAATCTATATATTTAGAGGATTAACACATCAAGGATATCATATGTTAAGACCAATGAGAGCAGCAGTTTTCTTGGGTCCTATAGCTGTATTAGCAGGTCTATTCAGATTAGTATATTATTCCTCTGAGAACAGATCATACTAGTAATTGAACTTAATGTTATTCTTAGTCCTGATAATTTGGATTATGTGATGAAGAAGGCTACAAATTCTTTACATTTCCCATTAAATACATTAAATCAAAGATTATCTGCACATTATACAGAAATTAGCTCAATTTATACAGCAGAAATGATGAAAAGAGTATAAATCATTATTTTATTCAAAAATATAGTATCATAAAGAACATGCAAAAATTATCAAAGAAAGATCAACATAATCTGAACATGTTAAGAAAACTAAATATGCAGATCCATCTTATAAATATGTTCCAATGACTCCAGTTCACATTGAGGATATCAAACTCGCTTGAGTAAACCAATATAAAATACATACAATAAGTTCATTAATTTTATCAATAAACTTAATTAATTAAGTAACTCTTATATATGAAAGCTAATCGCTTTATTATCCATAATCCTACTATTGAATCTTATCAATTAGAAGAGTATTACAACCATTTTAAAAGAATGGAAGAAATTGATAAAGACAAAATCAACATCTATAAAACAATTGAATAAAATAAAAGTGCCACTAATTCTCGATTTTTGATGCTTTAACACACATCCAAATTTAATAAACAATAATAATAAAATGCATAAGATAAATTACAAAAAGTATTTCTTATCTCATAATTATTAAGTTATTGGATGACAAAATTGAAAGAATTAAGGTAAGAGAAAATCCATATGTCAATCTAAATAGATTTAGAGGCATCTCCTAAACAGATCTTAAAAGTCCTAACAATACTTTTAATAGTTCCTTAGAAAATATGAATTTGATTAAAAAATTGTAAACACTTAAACCAAATATCTCTAAGAAAAATCTTGATATCCATTATGAAAAATAAAGAGAATATGGTAATAGATTGCGAAAATTACCTAAACTACCAGATTTAGATAAAAAAATTCATTATTTGTTCTGATTTTTATAATTTATCTTTGCAAAATAACATAATTTAACTTTTATCTATTATTATTTCTCACTTCTCTATTGAGCTTGAAAATGTTGAATCAAAAATATCATTTATGTTTATTTTTTAAAATTAATAATAAATTTCTCATACACAATTTATGTAAAATTGTGATCTCAATTCCCATTCAATTGGCATTTCAAGAAAATAATAATAAGGTCTTTATAGCAATATTGAATACTAATCATATAAACCTTAAATAAATAATTAGAACCTTAAAAACTTACAATATCTAAAAAATCACATCTCATAATTGCAATCAGTTCTCTCATATTCATATAGAAAATCGAGTTTTACAAAATCAAAGATTGATGATTCAATAAATTTTTCAGATGAAAAATCCACTTATTCTGTTTATGATGATAAATAGAACTTTATCTATTTCCCACAATAAAATATGAAAAGCTCAGATTATTTTATTATGAGTGATATGTCTAGTAGAAAAATAACAAAGGAGAGTCCTTTATAAAGTGAAAGAACAAATAAAAGTATTCTCAAAAATAACAATAATTAAAGTTGTGCAACACATAAATTATAATAAAAGGAATTAAAATAATTAACAGAACATAATAATAAGTAAAACTCATTAATTCAAAAATAAATTGCGACTGATATTTTATAAGAATGTTTAAGATAGAATCTTTAAGACAAGATTCTTTTTTTAGAAGAATTAAAAAAGTAAAAGTAACAAAAAATAAGATAAGGTATTTTAGATATCATTATTTAGAATATAAATACTAAAAAAAATAAATTGAACTTGATTGTTAAAATTAGATCTAAAAGCAAATCCATAATTTTGAGAAGTAAATAAAGAATTTAGTTGAAACAAAAAATAAAGAATCATTTTGTAATGTATTCTTTTACAAATATGAATAGCTCAAAGTCCATTGAAAACTTAAAATTCACTATTTTTAAGATTTGGAATTGTAGAATCTGTTAATAAATTCAAAAAGGAATGTATTATAAATTGATTATATTATTATTAGTTTAAGAAAAAAAACATAAAGCCATAAAAGTAAGATTTCAAAATGCAGATGTATAAAAATTCAAAACTGAATATGATTGAAATAACTATTTTTAAATTATCATTGAATTTAGTAAAATTTTTTTTTATATTTCATTATTCACTTTAGATTTAATAATTAAGAACATTATTCTGAAACAATTTTGATAGAGAGATCAAAATTAGATTCTTTAAATACTTTTTTTAGAAGAACACTTAAGTTAATTAAACGATTGGGATAATTGTTAAATATTAATTTAATTATATGATATATATATCAGTATTATTTTAATGACTTATTGCTCAGAATAATTTATTTTAATATTTTAAATAATTATTCATCAATCAATAATTTAACTAGTTTAAAATTAAATGGTTGATTAAATTAATATTCATATATCATAAATATGGAATAATTATATAATTATTATGATTACCATGATAATATTATTAGAAATTTATTTAGATTAAAAAGATATTAATTCAATTTTGAAATAGTTTATTTCTTAAAAAAGTATATTTAGTTATGATTGATAAATATACATTTTAGATTGATTTAAATTTGATCAAAGAATTTAGAGATTTCAAGTTAATATTGTGTAATAGATAAAAATAGTTGAGGTTAAGAATTTAAAGTTTGTTTTTAATATAATTAAATCCTTAGTTCTTTAGATCTCTTAAGTTGTAAGTTATATTAAAAGGATTTAATTTATTTTGATACAAATATTGTTGATAATTAGAGAGTACTTCTTTGTTTATAAAATTAATGTGAATAAGAAAATTTATTTAATTTATAGTTTCGAGTAGTATTATATTGTTGGAAACATAATGTAGGTTAAGAATATAAGAGATTTTAAAAGGTATCAATCTTAGAAAATGAATTGTAGCTATTTTATTCAATTTGTTAATTTTTAATAATAAATATGATATTTAGTAAGGGGCATGTAGAGAATTAAGAGTTTTGGAACAAATCTGATATTCCTACATTTGATCAAGAGGATTTTTAAAATGTTTAGGTGTTAATGGGAAACTTTACAAAAGTTGGAAAGACATTTAAATAAAGATGTGTCAGAACTTACTTTTTGGTCAAACAATTTTTATTATATTCTGATGTAGGAAAAGGGAATTAGATTAAAGGATTTGTGTAGTTAGATACTGTATATTGTTAATTTCATCAATTTGAATAAGGATTAGAAATATCATTGATAAATAATGGTTATTAAATACATCTATATACAGACGATATCTAATAATATAATATATGGGTGGAAGCATTATCTAATTGTTGTATTCTAAGTGATTTTGATAAAACATATAAATTAGGAGCATAAATAGGTTAAGGAAGCTTCTCAACAGTAAATCTATATAATATTATTTATAGGTTCATTAATGTTAGAACAAAGAAGGGGAGAGTTATGCTGTAAAGATCATCAAGAAGCAAACAATAAAATAAATTAACAAAAATAAGAATTATGAAGAATAGTTATTAAATGAAATATAAGCTTTGCGCATGTTTAATCATCCTAATATCTTAAAATTGTATAGGGTCTATGAAAACTAATTAAATATTTATTTATTAACTGAATATATTGATGGACCTGAATTAGTATCATAACAATCATCAAAGAAAGTTTATTCATAGGAAGATTTAAGAATAATGATTTTCAACATTCTAAGTGCGATAGAATAGATTCATTTATAAAAAGTTATGCATAGAGATATTAAACCATAGAATATTTTACTAAATGGTAATGACATTTAAAGACCTGTGATAATTGATTTTGGATTAGCAGCTTTTACTTGGCAAAAATCTATACCATTTCCTTAATGTGGAAGTCCAGGGTATGATTTCTAAATAACTATAAGATATTCTGCTCCTGAGGTATTGAAATATGAAGAATCTAAGAAAACTTATAATTAATAATGTGATATATTTAGTATTGGAATCACTTTATTTGTTGTATTATATGGATATAATCCATTTAAATAAAATGATTTAAAATAAACAATCAAGAAAAATACAGAAGCTTATTTTGAAATACCTGCATCCAAATATCCAAAAACATGTATTTAATATATAAGATTATGAATTTAGTAGAGAATTTAATTTGTTAAATGACCAAGAAATATCCAAAGGACAGAATAACAATAAGTGAAGCTTTAAATCATTAATTTTTTAAAACGCCCTTTTTTTGTTAAATATCATTACCCAAATAAATTGTATCAAAACAATATCATGATATAAATACAAAAGGTGAAACTCATATGCATATGCATGCTAGTATGGAAATGGATTAAGGAATTCATTATGTTAGTTAAGCAAATACATAAACAACTCCTTAAAATTTTGGTAATAAAAACAGAACAATATCAATTTTAAGTGTTCCTATCAGTCGAAAAAGTTAAGAATATTTAAAACAATAAGAAATTAGTTCATTTTCTAGAGCATCTAATGAAAAAGAATAAAATTAATTTGATAAATTTGGCATTCGTCTTCCATCTAAGACTCTACCTTAACAAAAAAACTAACAATATGAATTTGAAGATGAATATCAACTAAACAATTATGAACATGATAATAATTTCGTTGATCAAGAACATTTACATAAACTAAACTTCTCGATTAATTCAAAACTATTCTAAACATCTAAACTTAATATCCATAAAAATGATAATTGTTTATGATATTTTATATTTGTTTTATTTATTTTTTCGTTTATTTTTTCATTTATAATAATAGACTTAACCTCCAGATGATGCTATTAAGCAATTTAAATCCCTATCCCATAATAAAGGATCCGGAAAATTGGCTTTAGGTCCTTCTTCTATAGTTTTCAATATATTTCCATTTATTTTTGCAAAAGTATGTTTTCCATCATAAGAGGATGTTATAAAATGCCTTCATTAATTATTTTATTATTACATTTAATCAATTTTACAAATGTATCTTATATCCTTTTCGTGTAATTATACATCTTAATTGATTAGAATTTTATCCTTAAAAGTACATATCAAAACTTGACCAATTGAATTTCCTACAACAAATAGTTAAGAATTCATCATTTCTATACACAAATGATTTTCATTTCCTTTTATTTAATCCAAGATTTTTTTATTTTTTAAATTTAATGCTTTTATATCTGAATTAGTTATAAATATTAAAGTGGATGGATTTATCAAAGCTATATCATTAATACTTTCTTATTATTCTTGATAATAATTATTATTCAATTATTCATTTTTTCTAAAATTTATTATTTCTATTTTCTATATTCTTAATAATAAGTTATACCTTATTCTCAGAACATGTGATTATATGATTTTCAAAAGGATTAATGATTTTTAAAATTGGTTGCTCTGTTTCAATTTCTTTGAAATCATTCCACTTCTTATCTTTAAAATTCCATATTTTAATCTTACATTTATCGTCTTGTTATTCAATTCTAAATATATATACTCTTATACCCAGCTGCTATATATTTTTCTTCCATATCTTAAAATGAGCATGCATATGATATAATATCTTAATTCTCAAATAATATTTTCTGTTTTTCTATAAAATTATTTTTCTTATCTAATATTGATATACAGTCCCTCTTTGCATAAACCAATTAATCACTATCAATGTTCATAATTGCCTTTACCATATGTATATCGCTCTATTCAAAACTTAATTATTATTGTTTCTCTCCTTTAATCTTTCAATTTATAATTACTATGATTACCTATTTTATTATTGATTCATTATCAAAATTTTCTTTTACATATGGCTAAATTTACATAAATTATTATTTTATCTTATCTTTAGTTTGTTCTAAATTCTCAATTCTTTACTTCATTTGAATTGTTATTCCTTCTGAATTTTTTTCAATTTGATATAGAAAATCTCTAAATTAATCCATATACAATATTTTGGTTATAAGCATAGAACTAATATCTTCGGCATTGTGTATAGAAATCTATCTATTTTTTAAATCCTCTAAAGTTTTTATTGTTGATGGTGTTAATAACTAATAGAAATATTTATATTATACATTAAATATTTCTTGAGCAGAAAATGTAATACCTTATCCTGCTTAATTAGGGGATTAAAGTTAAAACATTTGATATATTCCATTCATTACTGTATCCACTATTTCTTCTGTCAAACGAATTAATTTGTCTTTCCCCTCTTTAGTTTATTAGATTATCTTTTTCGATAATTAGACAATTTCATTTATTCTTTCAGCATATTCTGATTAATTCAATTTCTGCTTTATATCATTGAAATTAAAAAACTTATCCTAAACTCTCTCTTCTTCACATTTCTTACAAGCCTTAAAAGTCTTTGTTTTATTTGATAAAGAAAGGGCCACAGATTAAAACTATTAACGATGTATTTCACAATTATTTGAAAATATAATTGACGTTGTCCTGTTATTTTGACAAATCTAGCATATCATTATTTGATTGTAAATAGATTCTAATTATTAATATTAAATAAATATGTATAAATATTTTAATAGTACCAATACAAAAAGAAGTCCTAAAGAAACATATTTTCATTTTAATTATAGTTTAAGTTTGACTCATTGTTATTGTTGACAAGTAACATATTTTTTAATTCTTATCATTCAATTTTGATTCCATCCAGAAGAATTTATAAAGGTTTATTCAATTGATTCACTTCTTTAGTAGAGTATGTCTCAAGAGCAAAGCATGAAATTACCATAAATATATAGATTAAGTTCATATACAAATCTAATAATTTGAAATGATAGTTTATGAAATTTAATAATTATTTAGATAGTTTAATTAGATTTGAGATCTCAATTATTATAAGTTAAATTTTTTATTTTTCTAATAAAGAAATGAAATTTCATTAGGTTATTGTAAAAATTGTTTGTTTTTCATTAATTATATAAATCTAATAATCTAGAAAGATTAAGAATTAGAGCAATTATTTTCTTAGTTCTATCTCTATGATTATAAATTTAAATTACTGCTAATTTTTTATTAAAAATATCCACTACTTTTAATGAAGATGATTATTTTCTATATTTAGATTAATATTTTAATCTATTATATTTGTTAATTAACAAATATAAAATCATTAAAAATAAATAAAAATCTTTCATATTTCCAAATGATAAACACTTTACAATTAAGAATCTAATTAAAACTAAAAACATTCTATTTAAAATACAAAATTGTATTTTTTGTTTATTTAAATTTCTATAATGAAAATCTCTAAATTTCAATGAATTCGTTAAAATTTATCAAATATAGAATCTAATAGAAAAAGCTCTTAAAATCTGTTATTAATGAAAAGTATATCAAATTTATTTGATTAATTATTTATAATATATGTGTAAATTATTGTGAATCAATACATTTAAGGGATTAAACATGACTAAGGACCATTATTTGTTGGAAATTCTGCTATAGGTTGAGGCATTTAGTTAGATTTGATGTCACTATTATAATTCTTTAAATTCTTCTCTGAGTACTTCTTCTTATATTCCTCTGTGTTAAAAGTATTAGTTTTTTATTTAGAAATAGACTTCCTTGCTAATTATTGTGTTTATGGTCTTATACTGACACCATTTTCTATTTCATAATATCTTTTATAATCCATAGCCTTAATTTATTCAGATGATTAATTCCTTCTTGCTATATATGCACTTGTTGGTTTTAAGTAAGATAATTATGGTAATGTTAAATCTTTAGTTAAATTTTTATGCAAATTTTTCCTTTACATAACAAAAGTACTTACTAATTATGGTTATTCAATTTTAGTTTGAAAATGTTCTAATTAATCTATATCACTCAAAATATTTGATGTCAAAGCCATATTTCTAATCAATTATACAGTATATCCTCTTTCTCCATAGAGTCTTTCAGTTGATTCTTTTATTTATGTTTTTCTTTCATTTTATTATTCTTTAAATTCAGGCTTTTCTTTTCTTTCTTTTTCTTCTTACATTTTCTAAACATTAGAAGCAATTTAAGCTTTCATTAATTCTCTTTCTTATTCTAATTCATCTCTTATAACTTATTTTTATGGTTTAATTTCTTAATTTTTTTTATTTCTTCCTTTATCATATTTATTTTCATTTTTTTCTTATATTTTTTTTTTCTATTAAAAGTCTTATTAATCTTTAATAATTGTAATTTAATCTTTTGTTGAATTTTAATCAGTTTTACATTCTTTCTTTTCTTCATTTTTTTCTTTAATTTTTTATCTAAAAAAGCTTTTAATTTAAGTTAATTATGATTCATCAAATTCTTCTTTTAATGGAAATAAATCTTTTGAATTTTAATAATCTTATTATAATTTAGTTTAAACTTATTCAATAACTTAATCATCTTCAATTTTAGTTTTAGTATTCTTAAGAGCTTACATTGAATTTTCTTTTCTTAATGAGTAATTATCTCCAGTCTTATATTCAATCATTCTTTTTATAATTAATTATTTTGCTTATTTAATATCTTAACCTTCTTTTGCTAGATTTCTATTTAATTTATTAAAATCAAACTTAGGATTATTTTCTTTCAAATGAATTAATAAATCCTCTGCTATATCTTTAACTTTACTATACATATTTGTAAAAAAAGTGAATAATTCCTTGAAATTATTAGTAAAAATGTCTATTAATTATTCTCTAAATTAATTAATGACTTTTGGAGATTATAGTTCCTTTTATATTAGAATAGAATCAAATGATTTAAATTAGCTTATAAATTAAGTGAAATTATCTTATGTTAAATGAAACCATAAAATTTAATCAGTCTTACATTATATAAAGAAATAGGAACTAATTTCTTCAACAATATTTTAATTGATATTTAATATTTATGAAATGATATTGGAAATTTAAAATAAATTTAAATGTAATGGTTAAACATCCATTTATTCAGAATTATTAGTAATTTAAAATTTCTTTTCATTTGAATGATATACTTTTGCTAAATATTTTTCAAAATTCAATATTTCACTTGATAAACCTGTATATTTAAACTTTTTAATTTCTTTATTCTTATTATCTATAAGTGATATAATTTAAAAGACTCTATGCACAAATTCTGCTAATCCCAATTAAAATTTCATTAACAATCCTTATGCTTTTGCAGCTTTTTAATATAAAACATTATCTGAATGATCTTCCATTTCCATTTTTTTAATATTTAATGTTGTCATTTATTCTTTAACTTCTAATAATCCAGCATCTTCTGCAACAGATGAATATTCATGTACTTCCAAATTTGGATTTTTTTATTTTAATTCATTAATTTCCCATTCTAAATTTTCAATAACATCTAATAACACTTTTTTTTATTTTAATAAATTTTCATATTCTAAACTACTTTTATTTAAGGTTGATTATAAATGCCAATATTATTCTAACATGAAATTTAAAATATATTTTGTTCTATTTTCACCTTATTAATAAAATTTAGTTATTTATGATAATAATTCATTACGATCAAAATCTTCTTCACTTTATACATTAGCTGATTAATCAAATTAAATTTATTATTATGAATATTTACGTAATTATTCTTCATCTACTTAAAATTCATCAACTAATCTATAAGCATTTTGAACACCTGTTGGTTACATAAAAATTCTTTCAAAATTTTCAAAACATTCAATATATGTTAATATATAACGACTTTCTAATTTTTTTTCAATTTTCTTTTATTTTTCAATTTCTAATTTTTCTATTTATCTAACACATTCAGTATTCATTTATAAAGCATGTTCTATTTTAATTGCATTATGTCCAATATTCTCTTCTCCTACATAAATAACCTTTTATAAATTTGATTATTTTTCTTTTTATTATTTTTTATATGTGTCTTGCATTTTCTTCATTTATTCAAATTCATCTTTAATTGATCTCAAATTTACTTTACTAGTTTCCTTTTTTTATTCTGCTAAAAATTATAAAGATTAAGTATTAGAAAATCTCTTATTTGACATTCTTGTTAACATTTAATATTATTCTACTTTTTATTGTAAGATTAATTTAGATTTTTCTATTTGAATTAATTATTACTCTAGAGAATCTCTTTTTTCAGATTCTTCTAAAATTAAATCGTTATATCGTTCTTCTTAGACTTTTAATTACTCTATGTATTATTCATTGCTATCTGTATCTTTAGTATAAATGCTCTATGTAAATGTTACAAATAAGGGATCTGAATGATGATTATTAATAGATCTAATCTAACCATAAGTCCCAGATATTGTTTACATTTATGAACCTCCCATTTAAGATTTAGATGGTTAAAATGTTTAAGGTTTCAATAATAAACTTAATTCTTTATTTTTACTTCTATTCATTTCTAACAGTTTATCTAATTCTGCTTTAAACTTAAAATCATTGCTTGAAACAATTGATAAATTATCATATTTTTTTATTTCTTCCAAATGTTCAAATTCTTATTTTAATAATTCCTTCTTTTATTTTAGATTCTATTGATCTTTTAATGTTTAATCGTCTTCCAATTTCTGAAACTTCATTTAATAATTTTATTTATAAAACTTATATATATATTTTGATCAAAACTTCATATTCATAATTTAATCATTAAGTATCTACATTAATAACTGTCAAATAAAGCATAATTAAACAATAATAATTGGATGGCATTTAATTGAAATTATTAAAATTATTCTAATTTAATCTTATGTTTTTCATTATCTATTTGTAGAAATAAAAAAATCTTATTTGATTAGATAATTAACTATAAGAAGATGAATAATCAATTTACTAATTTGTTTTAGCTATTTTTGACTAATATTTTACAAGTAAATAATTAAAAATGAGTTAATTTTTATTAGATAATTGAGTTTATTGCATTACAATAATGTATTTATTGAGTTGTAAATATAAATTTAATTAATATTAATAATTAATCTGTATTAGATCAACTGATCAATCTATTTAAATATTCTATTAATTATTTTTTATTCTCTTATTTATTCTAAAATGAATTTTCTTAGATTTTTTAAGTTTCTTTTAGTATTATTGTGAGGAGATTTATCATTCATCATATTTACAAAAACAATATGATAAAGAGTTAAGATTATATTAATATTACATTTAATGAATTAAGTTTGCTTATTCTAAATTATATGCAATAATTTTTAAACTATTCACAAAGTACTCTAATCCACATTAAGAAAAACAATTAACATAAATTAGTATTTACACACTATTCAAAAATATTATTCTTAATCTAATTCTCTACTTACTTATTCATTTGTATTATTTATTCTTTGTTTATTAATTTTATTTATAATAATCCACTATTTCTATTTCCAAATAGAGCTTTTAATTTTTTATTATCATTAATCTCATTATAAAGATCTGAAAATATTTATTTTTATCAATGTGTTTTACAGTAATTCCAAAAAAAAGACAATTTCCTTTGTGATAATTAATAAACTTTCATTTAGATTTAATAATAAAGAATTATTTTTCTTTACATATATAAATTTAATTTGTATTAATTCAATGGATGATTCATGTACAAAATGCATGACAATTTCAGCATTGATTGAAATGTTTACATCAATTACACTTACTACTCTTACCTTTTATTTCCAGCCTCACTTAATTTTAGATACAAAATTAGCAATCCTTCTAATTTATTATGGATACTTAGTCATTAATTTATTAATAGTGACAATCCTCTTAGAAATTATATTAATATTGGTAACTATTCCATTTATTGGATTCAATCAATCCCTAAGAGTTTTAGCATTTTCTTAATCCAGTAATTATATTCACTATTAATGAAGGCAGTTTTTGTGTATTCTTATAGATGCTCGTATTATATTTATCCAATTTTATATTGCATATTTTTCCATAAAGGCATAATATTATTGCATCTCAAATTCGCTTGGTCAATTATTGAAAATTTTGATGCAATATATTAATATTGCTGGAGATTTTCCTTTACGGTTCAACCAGAAGAATAATAAATATTATAATAAATTAAAAGAGATGTATACCAAAGATACCATTAATATGTTTGAAACAAAAGAATTGATTATCAATATTATAATTTAAATTATCACCTCTATATATTTTTAGTTCTTTGATTATTATTCAAATCAACATAATAAAACTATATATACTACCTATATAAATTATGAATGGAATGATCTCAAAAGATAAGAATTTTATTAATTTCTAATATAATACAATGAGAAAATTCAATATTCTTCATCTATTTACTTTTAGACTAACATAATTGATGGTTATTTTTTATTTTATATATCAAATTATTCGATCTATTTTTAATGATGTTCTAATATTGCTTGATGATATTCGAATTAATAAAACTAGAGTTTGTGTTTCAGTATTTCCTATTATTTTTCTAAATATTGTATCAATCTGTCTTTTTCATTTATAATCATTTCGAAATCTAATTCTGGTTGACAATTTTCAAAGCTGTTTTATTGAGTTCTTATTTCTTAATGAGACATTAAATTTAATATTAAAATAATATATTATATTAATACAAATATATAAAATAATCTTAGAATCTATTTTTATAATCTAAATACTTAAATCTTACTTATTATGCTTAAATGAAATGATTATATTATTAAGATGACAATCTAAATTTTATAAACTATCCTATTTCAATAAATATATCAATTTAATCTATTATTATTATATCAATCACTATTCTTATCATCTATGATAATTTAAAAATATTATATCTAATAAATTCTCTTGAACTATTTCTTAATTATAAACCCTAAATCTAATTAAAGAATTACTGATCTTTCATTATAATATATTATTATTATAGAACATTTGAATTTAAACAAATAAAATAAGAATATATGTTATTCATTTGAATTTCATTGTTATTTCAATGATATCTACTTTAATTTGATAAAATAAAATAAAATTCTTCTTATTCATATTACTGATTTACTTTTTTAGAACAAATAGTTTAAGTATTAGTCATAGCTTTATATGAATAATTGATTAATTATTCATCCTTATTAATATTATTTCTCAATTTATAATCATATTCAACCATTTATACTTCACAAATTCTCTAGAATTCATGTTTAAAATTTTTTCCAAAACATTTCATTACATTATAAGATGGAAACTCTTAAAGTTATTATTTGAAAAATAACCAAAAAAATGGTTACAGAATTTTTTTAAAGAGTTTTAATATGACATATATGTAAATAAAAATTCCATTATTAAGAATTACGTAATAATTAATGAATAATTGGTTTCTATTTGATTTATTATACATAATTTTTTCAATAAGAATAAATTTATTACATTTATTTTTAGAATTGTATATTAATTTTATCACCTATATGTATATTGCTCTTATATTCTAAACTTGTCTATAATGTATTCATGTATTTAATTAAGCTCAACTGATATTAAATTTAATTATGAAAAATAAAAACAGTGAAAAGTATGTATATATATATACAAATAATAATAATAATGAGCTATGATGCTTCTATAATAATTAATAAATCAAGCTTCGCTTCCATGGAGTTTTTATCTTCTTCTTCTTATGTCAGAAACATCATATTTGAAAAATCCTTGACTAACTTCACATTCTATCATTTTCTCTCTAAATTTATCACCTAATGTAATTATATGCTTTTATACAGATGATAACATCTCCATAATTTTATTTCAAGCAATCATGATATGCTGTATACACAGGACCACATGGAGTTAAAAATTTTCTATCAACCTCATCTTTACCAATCACAATGTCATCTTTTGTTATTTATCCAAATTTTCTAAGTATATCTAAAGAAATTACATGAGTTTTTGTGCCTTTTTTAAATTATCCATGAATTAATTTTAATAATGAATGTATCTTTAAAAAGAAATAAAAATTGGATATAAACCTTTTTATTATAATATAATCTTTTTATATTATAACAAATTTTATATAAATTATTTCCAAATATATTTTTTTTGAAGTTAAAATGAGAATTTTAATAGTATTCACATATAAATGTGTGTGTGATTTTTTATAATAACCTTATTAATTAATATATAAAAATCAAAATTGATTTAATCAAATGTTTTCAATTATTTTTAAATTTGTTCTCTTTCCAAATATCTAATAGTTGTTTTACACTTTTGTTTTGTAAATTTTAATAAATTTCTTTTTCCTAAATATAATTAGAATTAGAAATATATCGAAATACTCCCATATGAATACAAGTCATTAAATTATGGAATGTTTCCCCATTACTTTCAGTATTTTTAAAAATAGGATCTAAACTTCCATATTATAAGACTTCAAAAATGTATTTAGAACAAATAAACATAATAGAGACAATCTTTTCTTTGTCGAATTTACCAATTTAAAATAAATCATCTCTAAATGATGTAACACAAGATAAAGTATATAATAATTAGAATAAGTTAATTTTATTATTTGAGATCTCTTAAGATTTTCTTTTTGATAGTTTTTCTAATTGGAATATTAAATAGAAAATTGAGTATAGTAAGTTACAATGATCTTCATTTGCATCATCATATAACACTTGGCCTACTTTAATAATATTTTATTTTTATGTCTAATAAAGAGATTATTTAGTATTCACAGAAAAAAAGCAGCATTTTGTTGTTGTCCTCTTTTTAATGTAAGGATGAGCTATATCTTATAAATGATACTTTAATAAAAATTCCCCAAAAGGCTTTATCTAACTAAAATTCAAATATATCATACCAAGCAATGTAAAGATGGTCTCCTTTGACTTTCTTAGGTTTCATAATAGGTGACTCTTATTCAGGTTCTAAATATTGATTATCAATATTGTAATTATCTTCATTAAATTTAATTAATTTCTAATATTCATCTTCTTTTATTTTTTTTTGTTTTGTTTATACATCTTTTTCTTATAATTATTATATTTCTTATAAGTTCTGATTATCCCTCATTTACTATTCTTATTCAACAGGGTCATCATTTATATCTTGTTTTTAATACCTATTATTGATCTTATAGTTTTGCTCTTTTTTTATTTTACCAAAAGTGGGTTAATTAAATTCACATTAGAATTATTACTAGAATTGAGATTATTATCCAGTTTAGGCCATGGTACTGCCTGTGCCGATTCTGTCTAATATATATTTTTTCTCATCCTAATTTTTCATTTATGAAAAAAGTATTTATTAATTTTTTTTGATTTTCAGGAAAATCAATACAATAAAATTATAATATATTGAAGATTGTTATTTCAAAGAATCAATAAAAATTTGAACATTGTCATACTGAAATTATTATTGAAATATTGTTTTCTAAAAAAATATACTATTAATAGTAATTATTGATTAAATAAATTATATTAAACTTAATGAAGAGAAATTAATAAATAATAACAGAATACCTAATATAAATGGAAAATCATCTATTTAATAAATAATCTAATAAATTTATAATACAATATGAAAAAATAACTTATTAATAGATCATACTATATACAATAGTTATTTATGTTCATTATTTCTAATTAATATTACTAAAAGTATGAATGCATCTTTATGCAAAATGTGGATCAGTACTCTTTAATTTAATATTTTATTTTTGTTTTGCTTTATGATATCTCTCACTTGCATTCAATAATTATTTTGTCAAATCTGTTCTTTCAGCTCTTTCTTATTCATCCTCTCTTTCTTCTGTAATCTATTTTAATTGAGCTTTACTACATTATCAATTTTATTACTTTCTTTTTGTAATTATATATGGTAAACCACATGGATGAATGGATAATCTTTTACATCCAACACGAGAACTTAATAAAAATGCATTTTATTTATTTAATTCCAGAAAAAGAAGAAAAACATCATGATTATTTTTTTCTTTGCATTCCTAAAAAAAAAAATATAATTAATTCATTGTTTCTTGATCTAAAGATATTAGAATCTTTTAATCTAAAGTAACATATATAGTATAAATTAAGTAAAACAATGACAACTATTCAAAGTATAAAGGAGATTCAATCAATTTATTTAGTATTATTCCATATAATAGATTGTAATAATCATCCTAAGATTCCCATTCTAATTGACATTAATGGATAAAATGAATATCATTTTCCATCCAACATTTATTAAAATGCTAATAAGTTAAAATTTCAATATTTTTTTCTCTCATATAAGCTAATACATTTCCTATAAAGTTTATGATATCTTATTTGAAGTACTTCTCTCGATCTTCTAATAAACCATCATGATAAAAACAAAAATTATTCATTTTATTTAAATTATTTCTTTCCCTGAAAATATATTTATATATATATATATATTTAAATATAAAATATAGTTTATCTTTATTATATCTGTATTTTATTAAAAAAATAATAATTCCAGATTATAAATTCATTTTTAGATTGTTAACCTAAGTATTTTTTAATTCCTTTTATTGAAATGATAAATAAAAATTATACAAAAAAGTAATTATTATTGATAAGATTAAGATTAATTTAATTGATACTTCAATTAAATAATTATAATTTACCTAATCCATAAATTATTTGTCTAAATATTTTATATTTTAGATATATTTAAAGTTCAATAAACACTCTATCAGTTTAAATTAAAAAATGGATAATGATTTTCCATATTTCTTACAGATATAAATTCTTCTGGAAGGTATTATTTAATAAAAGAACAATCAAGTCTTAATTTAATATAACCTTTTGTTAAATTAATTTAGCTATCATTCCCTTAAGTTTATAGAAAAATAATCAACCTAAAAGTATAATTATTATATAATTAATAAATGAATATGAAAAATAATATCATCATCAACAAAATAAACAAAAAGCATTTTAATTTATTTATAAGTTGAGTATAAGAAAATAAAGTTAATAACTATCTTTCTTAAGAAACAAAAACAATATTTTAAAGTTAAAAAATGATTGCTGCCTTGATATATTAAAATTATTTTATAGCAATTGCAAACATTATAAATAATTGTAGAATTAACTTAATGTACTTTTAAATCCATAACATCAATCTGTGTGTTGTGATCCTTTTGTTGCACCAACTCCTGGCTTACCATGTCTGGTTGGCTTATATGTTAATGAGAATTCACCCAAATATCTAATAGATGCTATTGCAAATAAATACCTGCCAATCATATCAAACTTGATTTCAACATTACTGAATTATCTTCCATTGTAGACTCCAACAATTGAACCAACCATTTCAGGTACAACAATTGTATTTCTTTAATGAGTCTTAACAGGTTTTGGCTTTTCTCCTGGTAATGTTTCTTTCTTGGACTTTCTGATCTAAATATATTGATTTTATTATTTACCTTCTTCATCAAGTTTTAGAAAGCATGCACCTTTTCTCCTTGATTTGAGATTCTTCTTCTTTATCTGGCTCTGAATTATTCCACCAATTTATCCATAGGAAGTTTTACTAGCTCTTCAAGTTAGAGACCTCTATAAGTAAACTTCTTAACTCCCTTGAATTGTTTGTCTTGGGTTTATTCAGCCATAATTTGAAAAATGAAAATTAAAGATTTTAATATGTTCTAAAATACAAAACATTTAAGAAAAGTATTATTTTCATCAGCTATTCAAAATGGCTCACAAATCTAGGATTTTGCAAGTATTGATCCAGCAACATTGATTAAAATGGGACTAAGATAAAATTCACTTGAAATATTTAATAGTCTTAGAGATCGATTAAATTTTTGTAAATATGAAATGATTACTGATTACAGAAATCTAATGATTTATGTTTAGAGATCTCATATTAATCAATTTATAGATAGATAATCATATGATCGTGTTATAGCTAATCAATTTAGTGAGAATTTAATAAATAGTCACATGATTTGGTTATCATATATAATAATGGAAGAAAAGGATTATATGTAACCTTTAAGAAACTTAGAATCAGTTTGGTATAAAAATGTTTTATATTTAAACATCAAATAAATATATGCTGTACTTACATTTTATCAAAAATTCAATTTATACATTTCTGAAAGAACTCTATATTAAATGCTCAAAATAATCCATAAACATTAATAAAATTATCTTAAAGAAATCCATATACTTTATCATTGTTTATAAATAATTGAAAATTAATCAACTATGTTAAAAAATGATCCATTATTTTTAGATATTTAAAATAACATTTCTTCAAAAATTAAAGAAACCTATTCTCAAGGAAAAATAATGGAAAATATTAATTTCTTTCTTATTCATCCCTTAGAGGATTTATCAATAATTAAAGAAAGTTTAAAAACATAAACTTATTAATTGACATCATAATAAATGAAATATATCTTAACTATCATTCAAAATACTTTGTATAATAATCCATCTTATAGCTAAACTGAATTAAAAGACATCATTACTAAATTATAATAATTATTCTCTTAAAATAATACATTGTCAAATAGATTTTAATTCTCTTTGCTATAAAAATTGCTTGATTTAGAAACAGATCTATCAAAATTTGATCCATAAGTGGATTATTTAAAAATCAATGACTTATATTATTTATTTAAGACTAGATTGTTCATAAAAAATGATGAAAAATTATCAGAAGAATTAAAACATTACATTTTTAAGTTTCTTTTAAAAACAATGTAAAATAGGAAGATATATTGTGTAGATTTTGATCATTTCTATTCTATCACTAAAATGATAGAATAAAATTAAGAGTATAGCATGTTGCTTAAGCCTTATAGAGAATATTTGGGAGTCTATAGTTTTTTATATTGACTTATTTTTGTGTAATTTTAAAGATATTTAATAATAAAATTTATAAATATTATTTTATTAATGTTTTTTTTTGAAAATAAATTGTTCTCAGAATATATAATCCTATTAAATGAACATATATTAATATTGTATTCTTAATTTGATTATTAAATTATTAAAAAATGCTCAAAAAGAAAACTTAAAATTTTCAAAACAAAATTTTCATATATATTTCATTGATGGATATATTGTTATAGTTTTTATTCCCTTTATTTTTATGATTTTTACACAACCAGTAAAGGTTCTGTTGACATATATCTTTCAAAAGGATGGTACTACTATTAATTGATTTACTATTGATTTGGCTTTTATGGATTCATCAAAGTTGTGTTTTTAAAGATTGGCTGTTTTTCTATCTTTTTTTCAATCTAATGTTGTAATTCATAATCTTATAATGACTATTTCATGACTTTATATAGTCATTTATATATACTTGAAACTGTGTCCTCAATTCCTCCTAATACATTTACTGTTTTTTTAATGTTGGTTATAAAATCATTATCCAAACCATTAGGAGTTTAATTTATTTACATTTATAAATCCATTTATTATTGATTATTCAAAACACTTGCTTAAATAGCTGCTGGATTCTATAATTATTGTTAATGTAATTAATTTTAGTTTTAAATAGTTGATTATAAGAAAGAAATTTAATTAGGTTGCTGCTGATTTTAGGCTTTTTAAATGATATTTGATTCATGTTTTGAATTAGCATTTTAATCTAGATAATTGTATGGCAATCTTAAAAAGATTTATGCAGCTTATTCTTCTGGTTTTGAAGGAGGAGGAGGAGGTAAAACATAAGCAGGCACACGAGCTTATCTTAAAATAGATTGATATTCCCCAAAAATGGATCCATCTGCAATAAATTATGTTTTTAATTGTTTTTCCATTTCTGAACCATTTTAATGTAATTAGATCTTTTAAGTATCTTTCTTATAATTTTATGATAATTGTGAAGGAGTTGGATAAAAATTTGTTTATGCAAAACTAATATCAATTATTTTTAATATAATTACTTTTCATCATACTATTTTATTTTTTCCATCATAAATTCTTTAGCTTTTGGATCTTTCAAATCTATATTCGAAAGCTCTTAGCAAAATTGTTAAACAGAAGACATGATTTAAAAATTTAATAAAATTTATTATTAATAACATTTAACAGATTGTATTAATGAAATGGATCATTATAATTGTTATCATAAATATATATCAATTGATAATGTAACTTATAAGATTTTTAATATACATAAACAAATGATTTTTATATATTTAACTAGAATTTTCTTATCTTTTTAATTAATTCAATATAAATAAAAAAGCATAAAAAATTTTCATCTATTTATGGATGTAAATTATAATTATATGCTTATTATTTAACATAAGATTGATATATATATATATTAAAGATTATAATTCATTATATTCCTATTAGGAATATAAATAAATTATTAGTTACATAATGAGATCGATTTGCATATATATCTTATATAATTTATAAATATAATTGAACTCCTTTAATCAATTGTGTAATACTATGTATAAATGGTCGATTATATTGTAAAAGAAATGCCGATACTATTATTGATCTAAATAGTTAGCATAGTTAGTATACTAATGTTATTAATGATTTTTGATGTTTAAATTTAAAATAATTCAAAATAATACTTATTTAAGTTCATTTATATTTCAAAGTGAAATTTTATTAATTATTATGATTTACTTCAACCAATTCAAACACAAAATCAAAGCAGAAGCAAATCGAGATATTTAAGTTTAAAATACTTAGTTGTAGAATATAATCTAATTAAAGTGTTTGAATAGAAAATTCTCACAGAAGTATTATATAAAATGAATATTTTTATACTTATAATAAACAGATTTGATTAATATATTATCATGTAATTTTTTTAGAAACTCATAATAGTTTTTCTTTTATTTTCTTAAAATTTGAATAATAGTTAAGTCTCAATAGATATAATTTTTATTAATCAATTCATTATTTATTTTAATAATTAAATTGATTAAATCAACAATCATTATTGAAATGTTTTAGTCCAGAACTATACTAAAGAGTTTAGAATCAGATTTAGACTGTATCCAAAAACTTTAAGTCTTTGAAACTATAGTACAAGAACAAATAGGTTAAACTCCAATATCTTCTAATACAGAAGATTGTTTAAGTAACTATAGATATGACACAATGAAAACTTCTGAATCAATTAAAAGAAAGGAGAACCTTCAGAAAAAAAAGATTAAAAGAAATGATAGTACATAGAATCTTATGAAAAGAAGAAAACTATGCAAAAGAAAATAAGTGAAAAAATGATAAAATTAAACACAATATATGAATTATATCTATGTATTTATTATATTGTTTTTGAATTTAAAATAGATTCTAATAATAATAATTAGATTTAATAACTCATATAATTATAATTTTAATATAAAAATAATATGTGTATATACTGTTAATAAATCAGATAATAACCTTTAATGAAAAGGAAAATTAAGTTATGCTTGATGTCAACCAAATTTAGAGATGTATATAAGAGTTTATAAAGTTTAATATTAGATATATTTTTAACAATTATAGGGATTCTTATTATAATTAAATAATTAGAATTTAGGCTGAAAATCAATTTTCATTTTCATTTCTATTCTGTAATATGTAAAAATAACAATCCACTAATCATGAAGGTATGTTCACATAACAGATTTATATATAATCCACAATTTAATAGAAGTTGAAAAATTTCTTAATTAATAATAAAATTTATTATTATATTAGAACATTATTTTCATGTTTTTATTAATTATAATTAAACATTAAGATTTATCACAATCTTTAAATCAACAATGAAAATATTTAAATATTTGAATTTTAGGAAGATTCTGTTTTATTTTCCTCTCAAATAGTTTATATTCAATAAATATTTATCATTTTATAAAAGTAAATCTATTGATATTCAATATCATTAGATAATGAATATGAATATAATTTATTTTACCCGTTTGTTATAGAGTAAAGTTAGGTAATTAGTTTAAAGAGAGATATTGATAATTAGATCTATAATAGAATAGGTTTAAGTAGAGTATTAGAATATACATTAATTAATCCATTATATACTTAAACTTTGATTTTCAAATAAAATAAAATAATTATGGAATAATAAAAAGCACCAATAATATCTTTAGAGGCTAAGGTATCTGCAATTGAATGTCCAGCCTTCAATTTATTAGATGACAAAAGCAAGCATTATGCCTACTACTTTACAAGAGCTTGTTGGGCAGGTGCAAAGATTTGTTATTTTTAAAGATCATATGAAGCGCCAGGATTATTTTATTTGTTGTAAAAGATATTTTAGAAAGAATCAGTATGAATAATTTATATTATCTAGACAACAGAAGTAAGGGACAAGTTATTGTAGAATGAATTCACAGAAAATTAGGTTTAATAATTATATACTTATATCTCTGCATTTTTCTAAAATTGTGGAAATTATCTTAGTTTTGGTGATTCAAAGTTTATTCCTGAATTGCCTTAAGAAAAATTTCTATAATTCTTGTAATTAACAAAGGCATATTCAGAATAATAGGAAGAATTTACAAAAATATGGAATTTAATAGAAAAGTATATTTATTCATATGAGAAACCATATGGATTATTGGATTTATTAGAGAAAGGAGGATCTAATTCTTATTATTCTCCAAATTTAAGTAAGGAATTGATAGAAGAATTGGATTAATTTTTACATAAACAAAACTTAAGTGAATTAAATACTAGAGTAATTTTAAATGGAGATAGATTGGAATTATTGGTAGCATCATCAGAGAGATCAGACATTGTAGAATTAGGTGAAATTTAAGGTAAAAAAGTAGTTGCTGTTTATGGTGATTTTAAATCTTTTTTGAATGGTGTAGCTACTAATTTAAGAGAAGCATAAAAATATGCTGCCAATGAAACTTAAGTTAAAATGTTAGAGGAATACATTAAACACTTTTAAAGTGGAGATATTGAATAACATAAGGAAAGTTAAAAATTATGGATATAAGATAAAGGACCAATTATTGAAACCAATATTGGTTTTATTGAAACATATTTAGATCCAATGAAAGTGAGAGCAGAATATGAAGGATTTGTATCAATAGTAAATTAAGAAGAATCAAAATTACTTGGAAATTTAGTTGAGAAGGCAGAAGATATAATTAAAGATTTACCTTGGCCTAAGGAATTTGAAATTGAAAAGTTTAGCAGACCTGACTTTACATCATTAGAAATATTGGCATTTGCTTGTTCTGGTACACCAGTTGGCATTAATATACCAAATTATGATGATATTAGATAAAATTTAGGATTTAAAAATGTTAATTTAGGAAATGTTTATGGTAAACCAAATAGGGATTCTGTTAGATTCTTATAAGGAACAGATATTGACTTATTCATTAAGTATTATAAAGAATCTTTGTTTGTTGTTGTTGCATTACATGAATTGATTGGACATGGAAGTGGTAAGATATTTATGGAAGATAAAGAAGGAAAATTGAATTTTGAAAATGTCATAAATCCATTTACTAATGAAAAAGTAACAACATTTTATAAACCTAATGAACATTGGCATGCTAAATTTGGAGAATTATCAGGTGCTTATGAAGAATGTAGAGCAGATAGTGTAGCCTTATATCTTAGTACCTATGATGATGTAGTTTAAATTCTAGTACCTGGTAAAACTAAAGAAGAAAGAGATGAAATTGTAAAGGCTGCTTGGCTTGATATCATTATGGGAGCATTAAAAGGACTTTAATATTATTCAGCTGAATAATCAAAATGGGGATAACCACATATTTTAGCTTCATATGTGATTCTGTAATCAATAATATAAAAGGATCCATCTTTTGTTTAATTTATCCATTCAGAATTCAATAATAAACCTTATTTTACTGTTTAAGTAGATTATAATAAAATTTGGACTGTTGGCAAAGAAGCCATTGCTGACCTTTTAAAAGGCTTATAAGTATATAAATCAGTAGCTGATGGTGAAAATGGTATGAAATTCTTCAATAAATTCACTTAAGTTGATCAATAATTCCTTTAACTTAGGGAAATTGTTTTGTAATAAATATTGATTTATTTTTAGGACTCATAAACAACCAAGAAAGATTGAATTATAACCAGATGTCAGATTAAATAATGGATAAATTGAATTAGTAGTATTTCCAGAATCACATGAAGGTGTTATTCAATCACATAGTATATTTATTAATTTAATATATAGTATTCCATTATTAGAATGATGTTGAAGATGTTAAACAAGAGTTTTTAGATAGATAATAATATTTTAAGAATTGAAGTTTCATAATATTTATTAAATGAATTAATAAAATAAGAGAAAGTTCAATGTTCTTGAATACCTAAAAAATCCATATCATTTGCCATAAAAATAAGAAAAATTTGAAATTCCTCAAACATGCAAACTCGGCTCAAGGACTAATCAAAGAAGATTCTATAGACCATATAAACATAAGACTCTCTTTCCAGAATTAAATAGTACCAATGCTCTTTATTTGACCAAAACTAGCTAATAATTTAGATAATCAAGAAAGGATTGGCAAGATGAATTATAGACATGTCTTTAAAGTTAATCAGTAATTATATAAATCTTATATTATAGATAAGAGGTGTCCCAAATAAAAGTAAAGTCTCATAGATATTTGTGAAATCCTTACATAATTCTTCCTTTAATTAATTACTTAGGAAAACATAACCAGAATTAAAGCCATTATTGGAAATATAAGCCCAAAAATTATTTTGATAAAATCTATTTTTACTATATAAAAGATTATACAAAAAATCATTTCCTAATAATTCTTTATTTAACTTTATTAAAATGAATGCATATAATTATTCAATGAAAACTCATGAAATTTTTATACCATTTAATATTTTTATTAAATCCATGGTTTCATCATAAATATCATATTAATCTACATTTTCTTATATGAATTTATTAATGTGTACCCTTATTGGTTGCAAAATTTATTCATCAATTTTACTAATTAGATTATTATTTTTTTGATTCTTTATTTTTGCAAAATATTTCTTATTTTAAATAATAGGTTCTTGAATATCATAATCTTGAATATCAACATCATCCTTTTGATTATAAATATTTTTTAAATCACAATTTTCTATAGTGAAATCCTACTTATCAGAATCATTGCTCTCACAAAAGTAAATGCCTTACTAAAGTTTTTAATTTAAGATATTTAAAATTTTGATTATTACTTCTTGTTTCTCGTAAGTTTCAAATAAGAAAATTTTGTATAAGGGATAAGAATTAGGAAAATTCCCAAAAAAATTTGTCAGATTTTTGATGTCTAATTGTGTACCTTAATTTGTATTAATAGAAGTTTGTAGCCTATTAGCATTTTACTAATCCATAGAATATAATTATTTTATAATAAATAATATCTTTTAAATGATATAATTATATATATATATCATAAATCATGTTTATTAACTATGTCACATTACTCAAATTTACAATCTATGCATCTTTCTCTTTTACTGCTACATTTTTTATTGGCCAATCCTTAAGTAACTAAATCACTTAAGGCTGCAATGAATTATGGATGATCATTTAATGAATCACATCTAATAACATTTTTCTTATTAGATTCAATATCCTTCTTTAAATCATCCATAAGTTATATATCTAATTCATAGAGTGTTTCAAGATGATCACTTGTAAATCCCATAGGAGAAATAAGTATATTTTTGAATTTGCTGTTTTTGATGTATTGACTAAGTGCATGATGTGTAGCTGGTCTTAACCATTTATTTAATCCTACTTTAGATTAATATGATAAATCAAAATGAACTGATATACCCATATTTTTTAAATTATCTATGACTAATTAACAAGACTCATATATATAATATGGATATTTCTCACCATCCCAAACAAAATCAGCTGGTAAAGAATGTGCTGTAAATAATATAATAGTATCTTTTGGATCTAAATTTTGACTTTTAATTTTATTATTCAAAAGAGTAGCCATCGCAGAAATATAAAATTTATTTTTATGCCATTAATCTATAACTGAAACTTCTAATTTTGGTTGTATAGTTTTATATTATTGTAGTAATTCAATAGCATTTCTAATAGCATTTCCACCTGTTGAACAAGAATATTGAGGATATTGAGAAAAAAGTAAGAATTTTTATATTCTTCCTTCAGTTTTCTCAAAAGCATACTCAATAGCATCTTCTTAGAGAGGTAATCCATATCGAAAAGCTGGAAGAAATCCACTTCCTTTTGGTTTGCTCATTAAAAATCCTTATACCATAGTCCATTTGAAAAGAGGAGAGAATCCTCCTATTTTCTCATATTACTTATTGATTTTTGCTGGACCTCTTAATCTGGCTATATATGGACCTAAACCGAAAGGTATTCTAATGACAGTAGTGTCTTAAAAGAATCTGATTAAGAATGGACTGATTTCTTAATATGAATTGGGCCTATGCTATATTTTTTTAGAGATCACCCTCCTAAATTGAGCATGAGAATAGCTGTTGTATTATTTGGATCAAATTAAGTTTATTCAAGGTATTACAAGGACTGATTGTATGTGGCTGATCTAAATTTGGTGAATTGGTAAATAGATTTCATAAAAATAATTATTAATATTTTAATAATTATACTCATATAATATATTTAAATAGTTAATGGATAAATCAAAATTAGTTTAACATACATCATCATTAAATACTAATCTACAATATTATTTAAATAAATTTGAGAAGAATTAAGAATGGGCTGATATTGCACCTTTATTGATGAAGATTGAAGGATTATTAAAATAACATCCATCTCCATACATAATTGAAAAGATTTAATTAAGTAAAAGATTAGCATAATGTCTTAATCCACATGTATGATTTTAATAGATTTATTAGCTATCGGCACCAATCCACATGTCAGTATTAAAGATTTATGATTAATTATTCAAAAATATGGCAAACTTTAGTGTTGAAGGAGATCCATCAGGAGTAGTGAAATTGTATTTAGAAGATCTAGCTTTATATTCCATTGGATTACTTCCATTTTTTTCGAATGCATCTTCGAAAGTAAGACCATAATTCTTGGATCTAATCATTTAACATTATGTTCCTTTGGGGAGAGAATTAATCCCAATGTTACCAGGATTAGTGGCTAGTATATTGCCAGGGTTGGATGATCAATAGGAAGCAAATCAAAAGAAATGCATGTCTGTATTAGATGAATTAAGTCATACAGCTGGTAGAAAATTCTTAATTGGATCAGTATGGATGTCTATGTTAAGGAGTTCTAAATGTAGAAGGTAGAATATGTAGAAATCATTATAGTTCATCTTTGAAGTATTTATCTCAAAAGATACCAAAAATGTAATAAGAATAAGAGGATGAACAATCAGATTATATGAGTGATGAATATGATGAAGAAGAGTAATAGAAATCATAATCAGTTGCATAAGAATAATAGTAATAATAATAGAAAATGACACAAAATAATCAAGATATTGAAGATATTAAAGATGATTCAATTGAATAGATAATGAATAATAATGCTTAGAATGAGATTAAAAAGAGAACTATTGTTGTTGAATAGAGTATGGAATTAAAGCGTAAATAAGCTTTGATGATGATTGAAGATGGTATTAATGATGAAACACATGAAAACCATTTCCCACCACTTTATGTATCTGCTCTGATTTCTTGTTTGGAGGATGAAAAGTATAATCTATATATAATATTATTTAGTTAATTAATAAAGAGATAAGCACTTGATATGATGTATACACATTTGAAATCTAATATTATTTAAGAAAATAAAGATATATTGGTTGAAGCTTCATTAAAATTGTTAATTAGAAAAGATTTATCTGTGACTAGAAGAGTAAATTAATGGTTATTTGGTAAACCAGATATGGATAATAAGTACTAAATAACTGAATAAAATAAAGATATACTTTAATATGTTGTAAATTCATTTAATAAATTTTTACAATAAGAAGCAAATGATTAGAATGCTGTTTTTCCTATAAAATTATTATAGAATTTTTTTATGGAACATGATCATATGGTTGAATTATTAATTGGAGATATTTCATTTAATTTAATTAAGTATGTTGAGATTAATCATAAGAAATATCCAGAAATTGTAAAGTCTTGTAAAAGATTATTGGAATCTATTACATCATTTTTATTGATTGTTGTTCATGAAGTAAGCAAATAATATAATAAATATATTAATTTTATATTTACTATTTTAATTACTAAAGAAGATAATATTGATAAATCTATTGAATTTACATTATTAAGAATTGCTGCATCTAATTTAATGAATTGTTTGTCAAACTTGTCTCCAGAAGAATTAAGGAAATAATCACCTGGTTCATCTTTAAATAAATTATTAGTCAGAATGGAATAATTACCATTATAAATAGATAATTAATTGGTAAGACCTCCAAATATGTCTGATTATGATGAAAGTATAGAAGAATTTGGATAATTATATTAAAAATTAGCTGATGTTATACTTGAAGGAGATGAATAATTAAGAGTAGAATTTGAATCAATTAGTAAATCATTAATTAAAGGATTAAGATTTAAATAAAATAAGGAAGTACTATAACTTCCATAATGGTTTACATCAATAACAAATATCATAAAAGAAGAAAATCCATCAATATCTTTATTAGCTATTTAAAGTATGATTGAGATTTTAATATCTGAAAAAGTTGATATTATTTATAGTAATTTAAAAAAGTTGATTGTTGAAGAAAGTAGAACTAAAATGTAGAAAAATTAAATAATAGAGGGATAAGATTATACAAAATTAACTTTAGAAAAATTATGGAATTTATTAGATTATCCTTTTTTTCATGAAAGAATTATAGAAATGATAGTAAATTTATCAAAAGTATTCCCAACATTTTTTACAGAAGTTGTAATTCATTAATTTAAAAATATGTAAGAAGCAGCTATTAGACGATTTGCTCTATTTTGGAAATTAAGTGCTACTCATTATAAAGAATTATAGGATTTAAATAAAGTTGGACTTTTTCTTATGCTTGATTTTTTGGATCATGAAAATCCAATTATTAGACATAATGCTAAAAATTGGTTATTAGAATCAACAGGAATGTTAGAAAGAATCTTAGATCCTTTATTTGAAGTTCTAATTTAAAGTAGTTCATCTTGGTATTTAACTGATAACCAATAAATATTCTTTGCTAAAGTTTATGAAACAAAAAGAATTAATGAAACAATAAAAAAATTAAAATCTATTCTTATTTCATTTAGTGCTAGATTCATGGAATATGTATAAGATACTGAAATATCATCATATATAAAAGATATTAGAATGCATTTCACAAATGAAGGTAGTGTAATTATGTAAAAAGATACTATGATGTATTTAGATTTATTAGTTATTATTTGTTTAAAATATGTTTAAGGATAAGCTATAGAGAGTATGTCTTTAAAATTCTACAAAGAGAATGCTGCTGTTAATGCATCAGCATGTGAATATATAGAATTATTGATTATCAATGTTGAAAATCCAATTGTCTCTTTGAAATTTGCTGAATATGTTATGCAACCTTTATAGATAGTATTATATCATGCTATTGAAAATGAAGATTTAGTAATGCAAGTTTAAATTTTAAATTTGTTTAAAGTTATTTTCTTTAATTCTTCTTTTAGAACTAAATTCTAATCAGAACAAAGAGAATTAATATAAGATACTATGAGTAGATCAGTAAGTAATAGTATTTTTATACCTACTCTTTTGAGAGGAATGCACACTCATGTTCTTTATGTTAGAGCCTAATATATTCATTTTATTAGTACATGTATACCATTATTAGCTGAACATTTAAGATAATAAACATTAACTGATTGTGTTTAGTAAATATTGACTGCATATTTTAAAATGATTAAAGATATTGCAAATAGATAATATGAATAATAAAAATCTGATATGAAGATGAATTAATTTGATTTTTTATAAGGATCATCTCAACATGAAATTTAATCTATTTTAATAGGAGTTAAGACAATTTTAAAACATATTCTTGGATTATAAGAAAGAGATGATATGATTTATGAGAAGATGAAAGTAGACAATGCTGTTTTTAATACAGTAAAATCTATGATTACTTTTGGATTATTAAATGTTTAAGATCAAAATAAAACAACCAAATTAATATTCTAAAAATATCAGAATACTTGTGAAGTTATTATGTCAACATTACCTTCAATTCTAGAATTATATATAAATTGTTGGTCATTAGGATAAGACTATATTAAATATGCTGATACTTTGACTGCAATGGGTATTGAATCTTATTCATTTGAAAAATTCAATTCATTTAATAAACTTATATAAGAATAGTAAACTAAAGATACTAATATTGTCAAACCATAAATTTTATAAATGATGAAACCTTTATTTATGAGTTACTCTAAATATTTCATGACAGCATTATTATCAGTATGGAGTAATTAAATCAATTTATTACAAAGATTATTCTTTGAAAATGAATAAATCTTAATTGATCCTTTTTCTTTACATTAAAATACTTTTTTATTAAAGACTATTGAAATTATGATTATGATGTAATGTCCAATAGAATTGTTTTTAGATAGTTTATTAGAATCTTAATAATTGTAAGAGTTGCAAAAATATTATGATATTTATAGAAGAAAGAAATTAGCAACAACTATGTTAAATTTTTAAATTGCACAATAAGAAACAAATATTCTATATTTTTTATATTGTTATTTTACTTTTGTTTAAATAGATTCACATCAATTAAAGAAAGAAAATCTTCTTCCTTTTTGGTTGTAAATAATGAAAATTCTATAGATATTTGGTTTATCAAAATCCCCAAGTACCAATATGTGGCTATTAGAATTATAATTGCTATTAACTCGTAAATATTCTCCAAAAGAAATAATTGGAGATTAAAGATTTAGAAATCAACATCATGAATTTATAAATGATAAATTAAAATATGTAGCTTAATTTGGAGGAAAATTAAATATATTTTGGAATGATCCAGGTTTAAAACCTGAAGGGGATGATTTATTTCAATAATATTCAATCAAATTCAAAGTAGTTATTCCTTTAACTCCAACTCTATATGATATTTACTTAAATGTGATAAAGTCTTTAAATAAAGAAATCTAATATGAAGTTACTGATATAGATAAATTAATATTTAGTTAATTTAGCAATGTTACTGAAGATTTCATATAAACAAAATATAGGTTGATGTGTATAAAGACACTTAAAAATGTTTCATTGGAATTACTTTAAAATTCTTATGCTGTTGAAAAAACAGAAAGAGTTGTTTTAAGATGTAAAGAAATGATGGATATATTATATCCTCTTTTAGAAAATAGAAGTCAATATAATTAGATTTATGTTTAAATTATTTCAGAAATGTTATATTTCTAATTAGATAAAGCAAGACAAGTTTTATTAAAAGTTTATAAAGAATCAATACTTAATATTTTCAATAAAGAAGACTTTTTTATATAATCTAAACATACATTAAAATATTGGACTAAGATTATTAATTGGGTTGTTTAGTATGGCAGAAGTGATTTATTCACTTAATATTTAGAGTAAGTTGCTCAATAATCTTCATTTTTCTTTAGTAGAGAGAGTGAGGAAAATAAAAGGAGAATTAAGACTTTTGAGAGAATATGTTTTCTAATATTTAGTGGAGAAAGAGATCATTATACTAAGAAATTAGATTTGTTAATTGAAAAGATTTCTGAAGTTATTAAATCAGATTCAGCTAATCCTGGACTTGTTATGCTTATTTTATTTTGTGTAAGAATTCTTATTTTAAGATTATCACCAATATAATTAAATGAACTATTTAGAAATATGTGGCCAACACTTCTTACTTTATTAATTAGTATTTTTAAAAATAAATAATCTAATTAAAATTTAGTATTAGCAGCTCTTAAATTAGTAGAAATGATTTCTTTCATGTAATAAGATGAATTTTTCTTACATTAATGGATTTTCATTTATGATTATTTTGGAATAAAGATTCAAGAGAATCAAGGAATTGGAGTACCAATTACTCCATTTTTGTATTAACCTTATTGTTCAAATTTCTTATTTTAATAATATTCAGTTGATTATAGTAAAGTGGAATAGACAAATGTGACTGATCCTTAAAAGAGAGAAATTATTATAAAGTAAATAAAAGTGGATGGACAATAATAATTGGAAGATATCTCTTTGTAATTGTGTAACTATCTGGTGCAATTGAATAGTATAAGGATATACACATTGAATGAAGATATCGAAGACTTGATAGAGAACGATTTCATCTAATTGGATTAGTTTATATTTGAATAATAATGATTAATATATGTTTACTTTATCAAGAGAAAAATTTGAAATTACATACACCAGCAAATTGATATCCATTCCAACATGCACTTGCATATTAGTATACTTTGGTATAATAGTGATACCATTTGTACTAGTTTTTGCTTCTGAAAGTATACAACTGACTAATAAGACTTCTGGATCATGGTATCCACATTAGAAGAATAATTAGACATAGAATATGAGGGATTTCATTTTGTAAATATCATTACATCAGATGATGAAGTGTATCATTTCACAAATCAAAAATATCAAAACATAGAGGGTTCTGAATAATAGTTATCTTATTAATTTATGTCTTTATAAGGATCAAAAATATCAGTATATAAATGATTAATATATTAAATAGGCATTGATGGATGATAATAATGCAGACAATATACCTGAATAATTTAACATTGATTTTTAATTATTCACAGATGCAGATAAAATTAAATAGATTACAATATTATTACCACTTAAATGTTATATTGCTAGTTTACATTTCTAATTTGATTGTTATTTATACTTTTAAGAATCTGAAATCATAAATGGTTAAGGTTTATCATAATTATAAATAATGGGAGAAATCAATTTTTATCAATAAGAACCATTGCCATCTAGGTATATTTTATTAATTTATTATGATAGTAATTTTGATATAGAATATTATTCAGATATCTTAATTGATAATCATTTAAATAGTTAATGGATGAGTGAAATACTTTAATAGATTTATACAAGAACATATTAAATTCGTCCTAGATATATTAATAGAAAGATTGGAGGCAATTCTGAGAAACAATTAAGAATTAATATCAAATTAGACAATAATAAATTATAAATTATTCAAAGATGGGTTAGTTTACTTGCAATAATGAAATTGGCATGGCTTTAATATTTCTCAGTTTTCATAATTATATGGATTATTGGAAGAGAGTTTTTGATATTCTTATTTAGATTTAGAATAGTTGACACTAGTAAAGTGGAATAATTATGATTAATATTTTTATTTTATCAAATGTTATTGTGGTTAAATGGAATGACCAATACATCTATTAAACATCCCATGGAAAATATGATGGATGAATACCATACTAATCCAACAAATATCATACCACTATTAGCAGAAGATGAATTTTTCATACAAGCAAAAAATCTCAATCAAAAAGTGATAGAGTTCATTGATGCACATAAAATAAGCATTACAGAATAACTATTAGATTTAATTGTACAATAAATTGACCAAGTTACAGAATCAAATCATGATCATGTTATCATATTTCCAATTCTATCAATTGAATTTTTTGAACTTGATCTTCCACCCTTAACTTAAGTGATTCTCTAAGAAGTATAATATTAATTCTTATACTTCTTAGACTACCATTAAAACTCTCTTTGAAGGATTACACAAAACTCCAGATCAAATCCATGAACCACAATGGTCAAACATATAAAGATTATTTGCACTTATATTATCCAAAGAACCTAAATAAGTATGTTAAACAATATTTAAATTGGATTTACTCAAATTATTTTTAAATCATCTTGAATCAGCCACTGTTAATAGTATACTCATTTAGTTATTTAATCCTGAAAATGGTAATAATGAAGATAAAAAATTGGAAGTACTTGAATTAGGATTTCGTGGTTTTGATGTAATGGAAGAAATGAGTGTCCTTAATTTTACTTATTTAATTCATGAAATTATGACTAGATATTTTTCTAGTGATTTATGTCACAAACTTGTTTAATTCATAGTCAGTAAATAAATTATTCAGTAAATGTTTAAATGTTTAAGAGCAAATCATGATAAATTATTCCTTGCTAAAAGTTCAGCTCATATCTTATCACTCATATCTAATTATTATTCATATACAATGCAAAATATTAATATTTATGAAGAAATTCCAATCAAAAAAATTATAGATGAAAATCCTGAAATTGCTTATCATCATCAATTAACTCTTGATTTTGAATAAACAGATTTTATGAATACATTTATATAAGAAATGAATCTATTTGTTGAATCATTTAATCAAATATTAGAAAATGATAATAAAAGACTCAGAACTCTAAGACTTAAATTATTAGAAATCTTTGATAATTTAACAAGAATTTCAAATATTAAATTATGGAAACAAATGAATTAATTAAAGTTATTCAATCAAATTGTCTAAATCTACTTTAAATATAAAAATTCTGATATCTTTCATTCAATTTTTGAGAAACTATTATTATACATTCTCAATAGAGCCATTAGTGATTTTCATCCCTATTGGTGTACTATACTTATTGAAGATATCAATATTTACACACTTGTTTCAGAAAACATAAAATCCAAAAATACTATACCTGGTTATATTTATTTATTAGCCAATCATCTTACATGGTTCTAGAAAGAATTGAATGATAAATTAGTTATTGATGGTTCTCTTGCAAAATACTATTATCAATTAAAAAAAATTGAAGAAGTTATATTACTTAATGATTAATGGAGAAGAGCCAGTCCCATATTCAATATTACATTTCAAAAGAATTCTGTTCAATTAGGATCATCACAACCAGGTAGTTCATCAAATATTGCTGTTTCATCTGAACCAGTAATACATAATGCAAATGATTAACAATTAAATAATGCTAATGCTTAATGTCTATTTAATAAAGTGAAAAATAACTAATCAAATATTGCAAGTATTTCAGGTGATGAACCACCTGAATTTGAAAGTCCAGAAAAACATGAAGAAAAAATATAATAACATTCTTAACCAGATGAATATTAATATGAAACAAAAAAATCACCAGAAAAATTCAATATCTAAATTTCTCCTTAAAAAAATCAAGATGAATTTGTTGAAGTACCAGCAGCTCCACCTTAAATTATCATTCCTTACAATTAAGTATAAGTAAAAGGAACAGATTATAAATTTGTTGAAGGTGTTTATTTACAACCTACTTCACCAACTAAACCTTAACATTAAGAATAATAAGTTATATCTGAATAAATCAATCTCATATCAATAAATAAAGAAGAAAAGACTCCTGAAAAGAATTAAAATGAGAAAAAGAATGATATGATGTCTATTAGCTTACAAGATTTTGTTAGACCTATTGATAGAGTTAAATTCTCAAGTGATAGTAAATCAGAATCATAACAAAATGATAAATTACCTAGTCCCAATAAAAAAGTATAAGATGTCATTAAAAAATATAATATGTCTAAATCTGTTACATTTGGATAAGCTAATATGGGTAACAATAAATAAACTGAAAATTTATCATTATCAAGGAAGAAGTCAATGGAATCATCATTAAGACTTAAATAAATAGATTAAGTAAATAATGAAGAATTTAAAATACTCAAAACTAATAAAGAAGACACTAAAATATTAACAAGTGATAATAAAAGAATCTTAATGGTTGATGAATTAGACAAAGAACCAGAAGTTAATTCATTAAGAAATAGCTTAGTTAATTTGACTAATATGAGCTTTTCAAGTACTTCTAGTAAAAAAAGGACTATTAAATTTAAAAAATCTAAAAAAACTTAATCAATTGGATAAGAGGCTAATCTAAATGTTTCCATTCCTGAAGAATTGTAATCAAATAAAGGAATAGTATTTTCTTTATCTAGTTCAAATTCTTTGAGGGATTCCTTTGTAAGTAGTTAAAGTAGCATTACTGAGGAAAAAAAGTTTAGATAAGCAAATAAAAAGGATTAAAGATTTTTAAATTATATTAGAAATATTAAATGATTAATAATTATCAAAATATTATGTAAATCCATAATTTTATTATTTCAATTCAAAATATATTGCTTTTAAATGTTTTCTGAATAAAAATCATTAATCTCTAACTTTGATGATAGTTATTTAACTTATATCAGATACCTTAACAATTATATTTTACTATTAATTGAATATTTATTTAATATTAATATATTATAAACTTAAATGGGAATATGTAAAAGTAAATTACGTCCATAAGAATAAAAACTATCTGTAATAAGAAGGTTTTCTAAACTGAACATTCATTAGTTTTATCGTTTCACTTAAATACTAGGTAGTGGGTCTTTTGGAACTGTTAAATTAGCTTTCAGTTTAGAATAGGAAAGAAATGGCCTTTAATCAAAATGTTATGCTGTGAAATCAATTGATAAAGTAACTTAAAAAAATAAAAATAGCATCGTATTGGTTAAAGATTACATTTGATTCAAAGAGAATTAGAGATACTTGTTCAATTAGATCACCCTAATATTATAAGAGTCTATGAAACATATGAAGATATGAGATACTATCATTTTGTAATGGAATATTGTAGAGGAGGAGAATTATTTGAGAGAATAGTAAGAAAAGGAGTGTTTTCAGAAAGAAAATGCTCTATCTTGATGAAGCAGCTATTCTCAGCAGTTCATTATATGCATCAACAAGGAGTCACACATAGGGATCTAAAGCCTGAAAATCTCATGCTAGTATCACCTGATGATGACTTTGATATCAGAATAATTGATTTTGGTTTAAGTAAGAAATACCCACCACCTTAATCCACAAATCAAGGTAGATCCTAAGTTAGAACTTAAACTAAAGTTGGAACACCTATATATGTTGCACCAGAAGTATTATTAGGTAAGTATTCTTAAACTTGTGATGAATGGTCTTTAGGATGTATCATGTATGTTTTACTCTGTGGTGAACCACCTTTCTTTAGTAACAATCTCAAGGTTCTAGAAGAAAAGATATAAACTAAAGACATACAGTTTAAAGAAAATTCTTGGTAGCAAATCTCTAATGAAGCTAAAATGCTTGTTATCAGATTACTTGATAAAAATCCAAAAAAACGCATTACATGTGCTTAAGCTTTGTCTAGTCCATGGATTCTAAAATATGGTTCTGCACCTCCTAGTAGAATGGAATCTATTCCTAATAATGAATAAGAAAATGAAAAAGCCATTTAATTACTTAGAACTTATGGAAACATATCCAAATTAAAGAAAGAAACTCTTAATATTTTATTAAATTAATTAAATGAAACTCAAATATAATCTCTTAGATAATAATTTGAAGAATTTGATAAAGATCATAGTGGTACTATCTCAGTTAAAGAAATGACATAAATAATGAAAAAATTAGGATTTAATGACACTGAAAAAGAAATATAAGAATTGATTAAAAAGTTAAAATTGTCAAATAAAAATGATGTTTCATCATATGGAGATTTAAATATCTAATATTCTGAGTTTATGATGGCATTATTAAATTAATAATAATATTTAAATGAAGAAAGATTATGGGGTTTATTTAAATAATTTGATATAGATAACAAAAATTATATAACAAGTCTTGATGTAAGAAGAGCATTTGAGAGAAGAGGAAAATAATTATCCACAATAAAAGTAGATACTATGTTTAATGAAATAAGATTAAAAAGTTAAGATAAAATTGACTTTTAAAGATTTCATGATTTGATGTTAGCAGATTCTCTAAAAACTTAAGATGATGAAAATCATATACCAAATATGAGTAAAATGTCTACTACTAATAATCCATAAAATTTGCCTTATTTAAATTAACCAATTGGAGATTTCAATTTTGATATTTGAATCATTTTAATTAATCTAATCTCATTAATAAATTTTCCCCTTCAAATTATTATTATTATTCATTTATTGTATAATCCCTATTATTTGATAAACATATTTTATATATATTTAATCTTTATTTTAGTATATATTAATTTATAGACTTATATCTAATTTCAATATTTTAGATTAAGATGAATATTGAAATTTATAATTTAATAAAATAAATAAAATTTACATAGATGTAATAATTAATATTAAATTAATTTGAGCAATGATATTCTTTTTCATGTTCTTCATATATTATTATTTATTATCCTTTAAAGTTTATTTAATTTATAAATAAATTATGACATATAATAAAATGTAAAAGTTCGTTTTGATATCTAATAAATATTTTTATTAATGAAAAAAAAAACTAAGCGTGGAGTTTCAACTCATTCTTTATAGAGCTAGAAAAATTAAATACCATTCCAAAATTATTATTTTAAAACCCCTGTTCTATCTGCCTATTTTTTATATTTGGAAGAGGAAAGGTGGAAAGCTGTGAGAGATCAACCTGAATGTTCAATGTATTAAATAGTAAAATAAGCATCGTATTATTATAACTATGATTAGCACAAATTGGCAGAAAAATCTAACAAATGAATAGAGAAATGTATATGCAGAAAAGGCAAAATAAATAAAAAATGAATCTGATGCAAAAGAATATTTGAAAATGTTGGAACAAACTTACACAATCAAAAAGAAAATATAAAAGGAGAAGGTTAAATAAAAGTCTTTACCAAAAAGCAAGAAATGAATTTGATATAATTTTTAACTATTCATTCTGACTAAATTCTGAATAGCATTTATATGCTTTAATACATAATTTTAATCATTAAATCAAAAATTAAATAAAAGAAAATTTTAAATTGAAATTGAGTAATGATACTATCATTCAAATCTAAAAATAGTTTTCCATTTAAATTACTATTTTACATTAATCTATTGATTTATTCTTATTTATCATTATTTTTAAAGTTTTTATATAATATAAGTTAGTAGGTATTTTATTCTGTTAAATATATGTTTATTAATTAATGTACAATAATTAGAGGTATATTTAATGAGTAATTGTTATTTATTTAATTTATTTTTAGTATAATTTAATATAATTTTTAGTATAAATTTCAAATAATACAATATGAATACATACAGCTCTGTTAAGTATGACAGTGTAATACATTTAGATCCTTCGACTCATAGATTCAGGGAAGAAGAATGTAAGAGCCAAACATAGCAGTTATGCATCAAAGACATTAACAAACTCCTAAGTATCACTCTCCTGAATCACATTTGGATAATTTTGTCAATTTAAAAGTAGTAGAACCAGCAAAGACATAAAAGAAGAAAAAACTAACTTAGGGATTGTAAGGCAAACCAAAACCATAGACTCAATAGATTAAAAAACCTGCGCAGTAATCAGTGTCTGTGAAGAAATAAACTAAAAGGGCTGTTTCTCCAAAGAAAAAGAAAGCTCATACAGTTGATTCAAAGAAGCAAACTAAAGTGATTAAGCCATCATAATAATAAAGAAGAGAAGAATTAGGTTTAGGCAAACTTAATGAAAAGTAAATCAAACAACGAATAAGTATTATTCAAATTTAATTAGATAAAATCAAATCAAAAACAAAAATAGTAGAACCTTTGTTGAAGAAGAAAATCTATCAACCAAATCATGAGATTTAACATTACATGACACAAAAGAAAGCAATTGACAATACAACAAGCATGCAAAAATAATTGATATCTCTATTGGAAAAATAAAGAAAGTAAGGCAATCCAATTAACAAGATTGGAGAATCTGGCCAAGTTGAATGAGTCGGTTAAAGAGATTTTCAAAAAGTGTAAAACCTTGGAGAACTCACAACCATAAACTCCAAAAGTGACAATGAAGAAAAAGAAATTTGATCCATTAGAGAATGAATAAAGAAAATAACAACCTATGGAAATGAAAAAATATAAAGAAGATAGAATAAAAGGAGAATCTAAAAAATATCAAAATGAAGATTAAAAGAAATTGAAAAAATAATATGAGAATCTTAATTAAAGATATCAATAATTAAAAAACCCTGATTTTAATTAAGATGAAAATCAATAATATATTTAAGAAATTGAAGATGAAGAATAGGATGAATAGTACTCTTAAATTAGCGAAAATTAATTAACAAATTTGATAGTTGAGACTTTATCTAAAATACCACCAACTAAATTCTTGCGTGATAAAATTTAAGAGATACTTAAATAGTAAAATGATTTAGACCCTAATGAACTCACTACTTAAGATTATTTAGTTTTGTAATACCATTTTATGAATGAGGCTGCAACTAAATTATAAAGTGTTTGGAGAGGTTTTTCTATCAGAATGTAATTACTTCATGAATTGTAAGAAATGTTAGAATAATAAAATGAGGATGGGGATGAAACAGAAGATTAAAATGAAGAATCTGATTTAAAAGACAATTTGAGATATGAATCACCATCATTATTAATAAAATAAGAATAAACCAAAGGTTTATAAAAAAATGAATTGAAAGTATAAAAATAATAATAGTAAGATGGAATGATTCAATAATTAAATTAACATAACCATCATTAATAATAAATATATTCTTAATAGTAATATTAAAATGAATAAAAATAATATAAATAATAATAATAATAAAAACAATAATAACAATAATAACAATAATAATAACAATAATAATAATAATAACAATAATAGTAATAATAATAATAATAATAATAATAATAATTACAAAAAGATATATTATTTTAAAATAAAAATAGATATGAAAAAAATCTATCTGATTAAACTGATGATTTAGTAATTATTTAACAACCAAATAGCCCTGCTAATTAAGAGATGTATTTCTATAATCCTTTTGGATAAAATGTTCAATAATCCTTAGAAAAACAAATTCATTACTCTAATATCAAGAGTTCTGTTGTAAGTGAAGAAGATCAAAAAAGTGCATTGTCTCATTCTGTAATTTAGTAAATTTAATAAGAATTAGAATTATGGAATAGTTAGATTGAAAATATAATAAAATAAGGTCCAGAAAAATAAGCATTTGCAAATGTAAAATAATAAATGTCACAAACAATATTAAATATTGTATCATAGCATATGAAAAAGTAGAAAGAAACAAAGACACATGAAAGAAGGGATTCTGAATAATCAGTTGATATGAGAGTTAGAAGTTAATTAGAAGCTAATAATGAAAAAACTTTTAATGATGCTCGCAAAAGATTGTAAAAGACCCATGAAAATAGTGAAGATCGATTACAGTTATCTTAAAAAGAGAATGATGTCAATCGATCTTCATTAATGTCATTACAATCATAATTAATGAAAAAAGAAACTGAATTGTTAAATATGAGAGAAGAGGCTATTAATTTGAGGTATAAAGCAGAACTGAAAAAAATATAAGATGATCCAATAAAAAAATAAGAATTAGAGATTTGGCTTGAAAAAGAAAAGGAGGATTTAAGAAATACAAAACAAGCAATAGAAAATAGTAGAAAAAGGGAAGCAAAAGCAATTTAAAAAATATAAAGGGATTTATAAATTGTGTAAACTTTTGATGAAAACAATCCAAAATTATAAAGTTTAAAAAAATAAGTAGATGAATAACTTTGCTAAAGTAGTAATATAAAATCCCAAAAATAAATAGGATCAGATATCAAGATTATTAATCACTTTGATGTAGAATAGCATGATGATTTGGATGAAATGCCAGAAACATTTTCAGAAGATCTTTAAAATGATAATTAAGATTAAAGGAGTTTGATGAGACAAAATATTATAGAATCTGACAAATAAATAGAAACCTATTAGACATTAAGTGCAATAACAAATGATATTTTAGATGAAATAGTTCATAATTTGACAGAAGGTATTAATATTTATTTTAATCCTAGAATTATTACTTAATAAAGATCATTTTGAATTTATAATCTCAAACTTAATTAGTCAATCTATAATTCCTTAATTACCTACATCAATCAAAGATATCAAGGCATATATTAAAGATTTATTTAAATATGTATTAGAAAATCATAAAGAAGAATTGATTAGAAATCTAAACATTCCATATGGATTTACTCCTTTTAAAAGAATGCAACTTATACATGGATATGACAATGATGGTGAAGAAATAGAGGATGAGTTTCATTAGAATGAAGATGATGCTTAAATTGCATTTCCTTTAAATGAAAGACTATTCTAAGAATTTGAATCTTATAGAATACAGCTTGAGAATTAACCTAGTGATAATTTATAATATGGAATGAAAGAATTAGAACATATACATAATAAAGCTGTCTTTGATGCATGTAATGAAGCTTTGAATTATGAAAGACCCAACTTTTTAAGTAATTCTATCTTTTTAATTTTAGACTCTGGTTTACCATATCCATGGGAAAATAAATAAAATAAATTAATCATTACAAATGAGGCTTTAGATGAAATTCTGAAAAATATGGAAGCCAAAGTTATTAATTGGTCTGGTACACTTGGAGGATTTTTACCAATAGAAGATGATTCATAAGTACCAGAAGAAAAATAAGAAATTCTTGATGAAAAGAACTAATAGATGATGATTCAATAATTACATTAATTAGAAAATCCTTTATTGTTTGATTCATAATTGTCTCAATAAATGTTTGACAATATAGCATAAATTAGAGATGAACGATTATATAAAATGCTAATATAAGATGTTAATATATTCTAATTAATTTTAGATAAAAGAAAGTGAATTCCGATGGTACTTATTTGAAGATGATAGAACAGAATTTTTAATGGAACTTGGTGATATAATATTTGAATAGTTAGTGGAGGAAATGGCATCAGAATAACTCTAATTATGAATACATATATATATATATTTAAATTATCATAAATACAAAAGCTCCCTATAAATGTTATTAAATTTTAACATATTAAATAATTTTCTAAATGAAATTGCTACTATATTCAAATGATTTCTTCCTTTTTTATATTCCATTTAAAACTGTATCAGATTTAACTAATAGAAGGAATATTTTTAAATTAAATTCTTAACTTGCTGATATTATATGAGAGAGATCTTTCTTAATTGTAAAATATCATAAAATGTTTAAAATTTAAAGGTTAAATATTTCTAAAAAACAAATGTCGATTGCTTTTTTTAGATTTATCTATAATTATTGCTACAACCACTGTAAATCTAACTAAAAGAATATTACGATAGAAAAATTATATATATAATATATTTTTGATTCAATTTATATTGAAAATTGAATATATAATTAAAAAATATTTACTACTAATTTGTAGTATTGAAAGGAGAATTTTTATCAATTTTTGCAGACTACAATATCCTTAATAGTAAAATTACCTGAGTCATCTTTTTGAATTTTGCATAATTAATTAATTTTCTATATTAGTATGATAATATTACTTATCTGCAAATGTAACAGTTTTGAGACTTTTATAACCATTATTTTAAACAATCATTACAAATTCCCCCATGTCTACAAGGTAGCATAACAATTTATGATTCGTGAATAAAACATACTTAGCATTTATCATCATTCTAAACTAATTTTGATTCTTTTTCAGGAGAATGCATTTAATCTATTCTGGTTACAAATTCAAAAGCTTTTAATTTAACTTTTTAATTTATGACGCTGCAATTACTATTAGTAACTATTTAATTTTATTAAGAATGTTAAATGGGTTATTTAAAGTATTCAAAATAAGTTGATGATACTTAAATTAATTTTTTTGGCAATGTAATTCTTAAGAAACTTTGAGTAGTTTATTATTATTTGGTATCTTTTTGATTTGAGGTCAATACTTCATCTTCAAAACCAAAATCTTGAATATAAGTTCTGTACTATTATAATAAAATACTTTATATGTTTTCTACAAATTTTGGAGAAAATTAAAATTAAGAAAGTTTGCAAAATAATTAGAATACTAAGTATTAGACTAGTTTGTCTAATGGGGTAATTAATTATTTCTTAATTTTTACAGATAATGTAACAAAACCACATTGGGATTCCACTAAAACCAAAAAAATACAATATCAACCAAAAGCTTCCAATAATTTACGATTTTGTAGCTCTTTTGATTAAATAATCATGTATAATTTCAATAATAGATAGAATAAGGATAAGATGAAAAATAAAAAATATGACCAGTAAACTCCATGCCACACTAAATACCACAAACCAATTCCAATCTATCATGTTTTTGAGTTTAATAAGAATCATCAATAATTATAATGACAATAATACTTTTATGCCTTGAATATACTATTTTGAATGAAATAAATACAATTATATATCGTTGTATAGGTGATTTAAATATGACTTTTTAAAACATGATAACCAAAAATCTAAATAAATAATAGGCCAAAACAACATAACCTAATAATTAAATTTCCACCTCTCTAAATCTAAAATGAATTAAAAGAATTGTTTTGATAATCATTGAAAAAAAAATATCAAATATTGAACTTCCTACAGCAAATTTAAATCTAAAGTTAATAGTTATAATTTACTTCATTTTTAAAATGATTAGAAATAACATCACCATAGCATCAAAAGAATAATAAAATATTATTAATTGCATTAGGTTATATGTAAACACTAAATGAGTCAGATAAATTAGTAAATATATATTCGTAAATACTAATAAAAAGATGAGTTTTGATAATTTTGTAATAGGATCAACTTGAGTAAGAGCTAAATCCTATTAAATTTAAATAATTTGTTAGGATCTATATTGATTTAAATTAATTACCTCATTTATTAGAATTTATTCTAATAATTTTATTATTAAAGAAACTAGAACAATGATATGTGAATAAATAAAAATTAAATTAATTTTGAAGCTTATTTTTATTGATCTTGATCGAATTATTTAAATTATCAAAATTAAGAAATTTTATTTAATATAAACGTTGAATATTGGATGACTGATAGATATAAAATAAATAAGTAATTAATTAACAAATAATATATATTATTGAAAATTACATTGACTCAAATATCTTGTGGATATTATCGTACAAATTCTGGAAATTTAGGATAACCATTTTCTGCTAACCCACAATATTTATAGGTTATTTTTGTACCAATTGGAGGTCTTTGTTTTTTTATTCCAATTTTCAATCCCAAACCAACTTCAAATTCTAATCCTTAATCATTTCGTACTAAAAATCCTCCTAAAATACCTTATTTCTTCATATGTGTATCTTCTATATAATCAATAATAAAAGCTTCTGCATCCAAAGAAGATTTAACTTTTAATAAGCTTTTAGATCTAATTCCCTCATATAAAGAATCAGGATCCCTTAACATTAAACCTTCTCCACCATTATTTTATACTTCTGCAAGTTCTTCTGCTAAATGCTCTTTTCCTCTACAAATTTTATGAGGAAGATAAATAAGATGAGGATTTTTTATTTTTTCAATTGCCTTCTTTAATTTTGCATATCTATCACTAAATGGTTCTTGAAGAAATGGAGCATCAAATACCATATATTTTATTGTCTTCCAAGCATTAGGATCTGGAATTCTTTTTCTGACTGATGTCAATACCTTATTAAATGTTCCTCGATTAATCCATAATTCTCCATCTAAATAAGTTGTTGGCCAACCTTCAATAAAATAAGATGGAAATTTTAATGAATATCCATTTCTAGTAAACATCTCCATTCCTGTCCATATCATTCTCATTCCATCTAATTTTTCACTCATATAATATCCTTTTGGATCTACTGACACAGTCCAATTCTAGGCTAATAAACATGATATCCTTTAACTAGTTGAAAAAGTAGGTCCTAATCCTAAATTTTCTCCAAGATTAGGTCTCATTTTATTTTTTGGCCATACTGAGACTAATTTACCTTGGGTAGCATCATCTAATAATTAAGAGCATGACTTTTCTGGGTAATTTAATCCTGGTTATTTTTATTTTCTTTCAATTTTTTGTACAATTTATTCTTTCTTAGTAAGTTACTTATCATCAATTAGCCCTTTTTATTATTGAAACTATTTGTATTTCAAATCTAATTCATACATATATTCTGCTTCTGGAAAATTAATCTATTCATATATTTTAACTATTTCTGAAGACTTAATTTCATGATATCCTTATCTTAATTTAAGTTTAAGCATTTCACCTATATCTAAGATTCCTTCTTAAAGAGAGTTATATTTTTTGAGTTCAATTTGTAGATTCTCAGATTTTTCCCAATTTGTATTGAGATTACCAGAACGAATTTGTAAAGTCACAGGATTTGTGGATAACAGTTTACTATGCCAGAATAGTTGATTTAACTTAACTAGATATATTTCAGAATTCATCATAAATAATGATTTTCATATAAAATGAAAAGATTTATAGCAAAAAAATCATTTTAATGTTTTAGTGAATTTTCTAGGATCTCGAAATAGTTTTTTTCTCTATACATATTTATCATTAATAAAATCTTTATGATTGATATATGGATTTCTTGGATTTGATAATTATTCTAGATTTGGTTTTAATTTAGTTTCCTCTATAATAGATTTTAGATATTCATTCATAAATGATTGCTTATGTAATTTGGATTATGATTTATAATTATACATCCATGCAATATTTGTAGGTTATGCAAGTTTACGTTTATAATTAAGGATTTAAGACAATTTAAGATCAGAATTAGTTTGAAGACGATCAGGTTTCTCATTTATGAAATCATCTAATTTTGATCTGGAATATGTGTTATTTTATTTTTTGCTTTTTTATTCATCTGAAATTTCAGATTACCAGATGCTCACTTTAGTTGGAATTGAAAGAGTATGGAATTTAGTTCTCATATTTATGAAATTGATATTAAATAATATAAACTTTAATTCAATTCAGATCCAAATATTTATTGATATAAGAATCACTATAATTACTATTATCTTGTTCATAATCATCCATAATATTTCTAATATATGGTCGATGTTAGAATATTTTGAGTCCAGAACTAAGATGTTCTAATTGTTGTTATTATTATGTATATTTATTATAACTATTATCTGATAACACTTCATTATGATTTTCTTATTATTATTATTTACATTCGACTAAAATATAAGTTAAATATATATACCATATTTAATAGTAAGCAATTCATAAGGAATCAATTTTAATTCATGATGCAACTTTGGATTGACTTTATTGATTTCATGCATTAAATTCATCCTCCTCATTTTTTACATATTTTAGTATATTTTCTATTCTTACTCTTGTCGAAGTTTATGAATAGATTTTACAATTGGAATCTTTTAAGTGATTGAGTCTAAACTTTGTTTAAACGATTTTTTATGACTATAATTCAAGTGTTGTAAAGGTGGGCAATTTTCTTTGATTTCATGTAGACACTATATAAATTCTCCTCCGGGAATCATCTTAATATTAATTAATATTCGTTAAAAAAATCATTAATTTCCTTATTTCTTATTATTCTTGACCTTCTAAATTAATCATTCATACATATTCTTCTAAAATTGAAAAATTAGAAAGTACTTTCATTCTTAATTCAATCAACAGCATCTCTTATATAAATTATGATTATTAAATATAGAATCAAACAAATATGTTTAATAATATTTATATATAAAAGGTTCCATTTTATTTAGAATATACTAATTTATACAAAATACACAATTTTTCAATCTTTCTTTTTTCCTTTTCTACTCTTATCTTATTTTTATATTGTTTCTTGTGATTATGGCTATATTTATTGCTTTGATTATTTTAATTGCAATTTAATCCACCAAAGTAAAGATACTAAACCAACTACAAGCCATGGTAACCATATATATATTGGAGTATCTTCATTTTATAAATTTCCACAATCAGGTAAAAATTTAATAGATATTAATGTTTCTATTGCAATCGTGAAATATGTAAGATATCTTAATTGATATGATTAGTTTTAATCAGTAATTGAATTATGTAATTCTCTGAATGCTGAATGACCTAACATAAACCATATTAAAAGTCTATATACAACCATCCAACATTTTGGAGGAACCCATAATTAATTCATCAAGAAGAAATTATTTAAAAAGTTGCCTATGATTACAATGATTACAATAAGAACAGCTTCAAATTTCTTTGGATTTGTAAAGGTATCTTTAGCAAACCAACTGTATTATTAAAATTTGAATTTCTTAATTATGATCATTCCAATAATAATAGCAACAGTATTACTTAATAATACATCCAATAATACATGATCCCACCAACATTCTCTAAAATGTGGAAGTTTGTGTTACCAAGATAATTCAATAATTTCATCTAAAACAGACCAAAAGTTAAGAAACCAAAAGTCTCTAACAAGAAATGTAGCCAATAGCCAATTGATTACATGACTCCAATAGTAATGATCTAGATTGTCAACAATATTTATCCATTCAAATTCACAATTATCATCATATGTATGCATATCCTTAGTGACAGGCTTACCTAATCTATTATCTCCTAAACTCATAAGCTAAAGTTATTTGAGTGATGTACATATCTACCATCTTTCTCATTTTAAAATGCTAAATAGACCAAGATGGCTATAAATGTGGCTGATAACCATAATTATATTCTAAAAATGGCTCCATATTTATCACCAAAAGGATCACTGGGTTTCAATGAACCTATCATTGCAATAAATAGCATGGCTGCTAACACACCTCTTTTTGAATTCACTTCAAATCCTTCATTATTGTTATAAGCAATATATAGAAGAACAGTTGTGAATGTCCAAAACATAAGTTTATGAAAACTCATTATTAAATTAATTATTCAATATAAATGTCATTTGATCATCTTAATGATACTAATATCACTAATCAATCAGAAAAAGAACATGTAAATGAATTTTATGATTACTAAATCCGAAATATGTATGATAAAGAAAAATATGTAAATCCACATGATATTGCTGGTTAACCAGGTTTAGTAACAAGTTAAGCAGTTGAATTGGAAAAGAAGAAAGTTTAATTCAGAATGGCAAATGAAATCTATTTAAGAAAACATCCAGAATTATCTGTTATGCTAAGCATTTTCTTATTTAGAGTATTGGAGGAAAAACCAGATGATGTCTTAATGTATGCAGGCAAATTCTTTGATTAGTATTAAATTTATATATCTATAATAGAGAACATTTAGAAGAAGTAATATTGATATAGAAAAAGCATTATTTAGAAAATGGAAATGCAACTGCTTGAAACCCTATTAAACATTAAAAAATTATTATTGTAATCAATATACTTTATATATGAAAAATTAAAACTATTCTACTTCTTATAATTCTTCTCTGTTATGTTATATTTGTTATTTATGTATTTGATAATTTTCAATATACTAATTTGATATAACAATAAAGTTTAAAAATATTATTATTATTATTATTATTATTATTATTATTATTATTATTATTATTATTATTATTATTATTATTATTATTATTTAAAATATAAATAGTTCATCAAGAGATTATCTATAATCTATACTAACCAATTATATTTAACTTGATAATTATAATATTCATTAAGATTAAGATAGATTTAACCATTTTAATATAATTAGATATGAAATCTGATAGCATTTTTATCTGGATAACCAAAATATTAAATAAATTATTAAGATAATAATTCAGTTTTAAAATTTGTTTTAATTATTATCATATATTTTATATATGAATATAAATTATTTTATAATAGAACTTATTGTTATAATGATTTTACAATTAATTAATTATCCAGTTGAAGGAACTGTTGAATAGGAACACTCGAAGTCTCCTAAGAGAAGAGCAATTATAATAAAACATTTTCGTAATCCAATGAAGATTTAGCCTAATAATTTGATATTTCCCCTTTAATCTCCAAAGATCATATCTAGTAAAAGTAGTACCAGACAAAATGAAATTACATGGTGTAGTGATAATAATTAAATAAGAGAGCATAATTAAACATTTTGTTAATAAAATAACTTTAAACCCTTCTTTAAATTAAGTAGTGAGTAAAAAAATAGATTTGCAATTATAAAAAAGGTTTTTAAAAAGGAAGATGATAAAGATTGTATATTTTTAGAGAGAAAGTTAAGTTTGTTAAAATTTAATTTTAAGGAAAAAGAGAAAGAGAAAGAAGAGAGTTAAAAAATTTCATTAGATTATTCATAAATTAAGATACCTTAGACTGCATCATCAACAAGAAAGAGACAATATTTGAATAATAACAATAAATATCAATTATTTTAGAATAAAATAAACAGAAGATTTAATAGTGACACTGATTTATAAGATTAAAAACGAAATCGAAAGCAAATAATTTCATATTCCATAAGGCCTAATACTCATAATTATGATCGTGATCATTAAGAATTTGCTCAAAACATTTTCAATCAATATTTGAAAACAAGTTTGTAAGATTAATGATAGTGTAAAAAAATTCTTTAACTAAATATTTTTTTTCAATCAGCTTTAGTCTCATATTTTGTTGCATTTGGATCAAAATAATATTTAATGTGAGCATGTGGTGAAGTACCATTTGCATTTTCAAGAAATATATGTAAATTACCTTCATTATCAAGAAGTACTTCACTTTCAACAATTCCACCTAAATATTTAATATAAATCTATTACCTTTTTCTAAAGGTTCACATTCTATAATTTCTTTCTTCTCCCAATCTACTTTCAAAACCTTTTAACTTTCTTTAGCATACATTGTTAAACCTCCTATCAATAATGCTAAATTCTTTTTAACTCTTACTGCCATAAATCTTCTTAATGGCAATGGTAATTTTAAATTACATTTTTCCCATCTATTCTCATTTATAAAGTATCTTTCTATTGTATCTAAAGTTCCATCTTCCTTATTATATCCTCCAAATAACACTAATTCATTATCATTAATTCTACAAGCTGCAGCTTAACTTTTTGGTTATTTTAAATCAGCTAATTAAACCCATTTCTCTGAAATTAAATCATAATACAACACTGATGATAATTAAACTTTATGTTATTCATCATATCCACCAATACAATAGATTTTTTTATTATAATAGAGACAAGAACAGAAGAATCTATTCATAGGAATTTAATGTTTCATTAACTCCAATCTATCATTTTAATATACTCGAAAGTTAGTTTCTTGAAATCCTCCAATAAGATAAAATGCTTTTTTATCTGGAACAAATAGAGTTGTAAATTATCTATCTAATTCCACATCTAATTTTGCAATCTATCGCCATTTTTATTTAGTTGTTGAAAATTTACTTATTGTCTTACCACCAAATTCAAACCATAAACAGGAATCATTTAATATTAAAGTAGAATCTCTATAAAAAGTGGATTAAGATACTATAGGCTACTTAATAACTTAAACTTATTAAGATTATTATTATTATTATTATTATTATGTAATCTATTATTATTTCTAAGAAGATGGTTATTCTCTTAAAGGTTATTTTGACTTTTGAGATTGTTCAATCACTTATGATGGACCTGCATTTTTCATATGTTAAGTGATCACATTTTTAAATTATACTTCAGCTTCTTATGATGTTCTATAAGGAGGTCCTCGTTTTAACATAGTATTATAATGTTAATTGTATAACAAAATGTAATCATTTATAGCTACATTCTCGGATATCTAACCTGAATGATATTTCTCTTCATGTTCTATAAATAATTGCTCAATCTCAACATATGATGGTCTTTAAGCCTCTTCAAAAATTAACATCAATTTTATTATAGAAACATAAGCAGGACTATACTTTTATTCTAATTAAGCCAAACTCTATATAATTAATTATTCTCCTTCATTTTGTTAAGTATTATTGAATCCAGTTACTTCTTGCATTGCACTCATTTAATACATAACTAAGCCAGTTGAAAAAACATCAGATTTATAAATATTATGTTCTACATATCTACTATTTCCATCAATTACATGAGCCTTCCATAATATAGGTGATAAATATTAAGGGGTTCCTCTAATAGTTGCCATTGTGTAAGTATTTTTGGCTTCATTCTCTAAATCAAAGAAATAATCCTTGCTTTCACCAAAATCAATTAATTTCAATTCCCCATTTGTAATCATAAATAAGTTAGCTGGTTTTATATCTCTATGACAAATTCCTTTTTATTGCAAATATGAGCATGTCGATATTATGCTAAACAACATAGTTACTAATTCATTTTCTTTCCAGAATTAATTAGGTTTCTTTCTTTTCCTATAAAGATTTTCCAAATTTGTGTTATGATCCATGTACCTATATAAATAAATGTTTTAAGTACTCAGTAATGATTCCTAAACGAAATGTATTGTATAAAGTTTCAGCAAAATAGTATCCATAGAATCGAATCACATTACCACAATTTTAAACTTTGCTGAGTTAAACTGCTTCTTCTTTGTATTCATTTAATTTCTCTAAATTAGTTGCTTCAATCTCTTTTAAAGCATATATCTTATTTGTTTGTATATGCTAAACTCGATATATCTTGGTATGCTTCTTTCCTGAACCTAATAATTCCAATTTTTTGAAATCCTACTTCCTAAACATTATCTGTTTATTTAATTTATAATTATAATATATAATTTCTCTAAACAAATTGACTCATTTCAATAATCTGTAATATATTATATATAAAATGCTTTACTTATTTTACTTTGATTAAACTTATAAAAAATATCACTAATACTTCATCTTATAATAATTAGAATCTATACATAGAATATATTCATTTTTATTAATTATTCAAAATAAAATAGAATAATAATTTAAGATGAAAAAATAATGCTTTAATATCAACATTTCGTTTTTTAAATATATATATATTAGTTCTCTATTTTTATTATTTTACTCTAATACAAATTCAATTTGATTATTTGTAATAAAAATTTTAATTAGAAATGAAATCTAATGGAGTAGAAAAAAACAACAATGTTTAGGCATCTTAAAAGCTTAAAAGAAAAAAACGAATGAAGTTGAGATCAAAGAAATAACAGGGTTCAAATGATATAGGAAGGTACTAGATATTAAGTATTGAATAGAAAAATGCCTGGTAATAATTCAACTTTATCATTTACAAATATTATTAACACTAAATCACTTCGCAAACACAAAAAAAAATATAGATTGAATTCTCAAAGTAAGGACAATCAATTTATAGAGAAGAAAGATTAATAAAATCTTAAATTAACATAAGAGTCAAAAATTAAATAAAAATCTACAAAAAATAAATAGGCTACCTAATAACGAAATTAAAGAAAAAATGAAAAGCTTTAAGAAATATTAGATGAATAAGTGAAAGCTTAAATTAATCAAAAGATCAAATTTCATGATGCAAAATTTAAAGCCCTAACAGAAATTGGAATTCCAACAATAAATTTAAATTAGGATAAGATTAAATAATTTATCTAGTAATATGAAAAAGAAATTATATAGAATGATGAGAGTGTAATATAGAAATTAGTTGGAGCAATTGGTGAGGGATATGTAGAAAGAGGAGATGAGGTTAATTTAAATGTAGAAACAAAAGAAATTATGATTTAAAAACAGGTTGAATGCTATCTAGAAAACTGTGGAATTAAGCTTGAATGGACATTAGAGAGGTGGAAGAAGCTAATAAGAAGAACTTTGTTTGTAATTCCTTATTGCCATATGCCTAATGTGAAGATGTAAAGTTATTTAAGTGGGAAAGAAAGATACTAAATTATGTTTGAAACTTTAAATCTTTTTACTTTAATGAATAGATGGAGCAATACTCAAATGTTACATTAATTTTGCTAGAATTTCCCATTGTAAACTAAAGATGATATAGAAATCAAGGAGTTAGTGAATGAAAATGAATTAATTAATATTAGATAAATAAGAGAATACTTAAGTATAATAATGAATGCATTGAATAACATTTATTAATTAAAATCTCAAAAGGAATTTTAAGTTGATTTGTATTAGACAAATAATCAATTATAAGATTTATCAGTAGAATATTATTTGAGAAAGATGAAAGTACTATAACTCAAGCCAGTCACTTTACCATAGGCCATGATTGAACAAATAGAATAACTTACATTAAAAGTTCAAAATCAAAAGGATCTAATTATAGATGAGCCATAAAAAAAATAAATTGATTAAGAACGATAAATAAAACCATAAAATTAAATATTATAAAGGAAGAAGATACAAATAAATGTAATTAAATCAAAGACTTTACTAGAATATTTTAAACCTATCAAGAATTAGAATCTCATAAATGTTGATAACAATTCTTAAGGTTTGATATAAAATAAGGAAAAGAATGAAATTAATGAGAAATAGTAAATATAATCATCTGAAAATAAATCTTAATATTCATATTTTGAGATATTGGATGATCTTTTTAACATAAGATTTGCTAAATAATTATAATAGGGAGGTTAAAAAAAATGATATATAATGATAGTTTAAAATATAGTTTATTTTTTTACTATAATAGACAGTTGTAATATATATTAGATTAATAATGATTAAAAACATTAATGAATATTTTATGCATAAAATTCATTTTGAAGGAAAACTAATTATAATTTATGAATAAATTTATATTATTAATTCTCAATCACTTAAAATTAACAAATTATTTACTAATAATAGGATAATACTAAAAATGATTTTACATAAATTTGGTTAATATATTCTTGTCATTTTTATAATGAATCACAAGACAATCAATATAGTAAATAAGCTATCATTGAAATCTTTAACAGAATGAAGAACTGATATCAGGTTGTTTGTAACAGTGTCTCTTATTGTAATGATGTTAGAATAATTAATATAATTTATAAACATAATAATGTCTGAATAGGAGTATTTGTTTGATTTTGATTATATCCCTAATTGGAATTCTTATGAATTTGATTTAGATTGTCAAGACTATGAGAGATAACAAATAGATAGAATAAAAGAAAAGTGTAATATGAACTTATTAAAACGACAACTTGTTTGTTTGTTTGGTTTTCCATCTATCTAAATAGATAGTGGATAAATAATTGCTTATCTTAATGGAATCATGGATTTAAATGAGAATGAATAGAAACGAATGATTAGAGTGTTAATAAGCTTCATTGGAGAAGTTACTAGTATAGAAGATCCTGAAACTAGATTAGAGACAATAAGAACTAGAGTTGAACAATTTCTCACCATAAAAGGGATTAAAATAGAATGGAGTAATAAGGTATGGGAATACGAAATAGAATCACTTTTTGAATCCAGATATTGCAATCCTTATTATAGTAAAATTCCTTATACTTAGTTCGAATATGCTAACTTCTTTGCTTTGCTAGAAAGTCCTATGCCCATGTTTTTAAGGAGTTTGAATCATCCATGTTGTTGTCAAGTATATGATGCAAAATCTACAGAAGATTTTAAATAATTATGTAACATCACTGATTTAAAAAATGTGAGGAGGATAAGAAAATATATCTAATCAATAATAGATAAATTAGAAGAATTTAGAAATTTACTTATTGATATTGAAACTAAGAATTATAAGAGTGGAACTGATGTAATTAATAGTTTTAATCAATTATCTCAAGAACTTGATAAAATAATAAATATAGATTTATAATTAAGTGATAAATGTAGCTTAAAATAAGAAGAGAGATTGAGATTTAATAATGATGCAGATAATTAAACTGAAAAGAATTCTATTGCTTTATTAGAAACAAAAACATCAGCTAATACATTTACTACGATCCATCAAGGTAATTTAGACTGTCGAACTAAAAGGCAGAAGAAGAAATAAAAATAATTAGAAAAATGCTATTTCTCATCAGCTTTCTTAAATTATATTGATTCAGAAACTAATCTTAGTTTAGAAAACAGTCAAAATTCTGAACCTAAACTTGAGGATCAATTATTTAAATTTACTTTAAACACTGAAATACATAATTAACTAAATATTTAATGTACTTCTGTTTAAGATATTTTGAAGAAAATTGAAATATACTAAAATCAATTATAAAGTTTGTAATTAATAGGTTTTCCATGTCCAAAATTAGATAAATCTCATTTAAAATATATACTATCTAATTTTCGTGAATGCTATACCAATAAAAAAATATTAATTGAATGGATTATTTCAATTATTTGGGAATCATTAACAATTAAAGAGGATGAAAATAATTGTATTAATGAAGTGAGAAAATAAGCTTTAGAATATTTTTCATCTATTAAATTAGATAGGGAAGAATTTGAATATATTTTAAATAACTGCTATGAAAAATAAGCCTCTATGCCATATAATAAAAGCTTTGAAATAGCACCTTTTTCTATTTAAAAATTGTCTCAATTAGTTAATCGAAAATTTCCAGAATCCTTCTAACTTAATAATTGTCTGGCAAGCAGAGTAGTATTCAAATCTAAAGTATTTTAACCTTTGGAACAACCATGTAAAATAACTGAAATCAAAAATATTAGAACTATTAGGAAATATATAAATGATATATATTAGAGTTTAGAAAAACTGGTTGAATTCAAAAATAAATTAAATAAAACTAATTCTAGTAAATCACAGAATCATTTATTAATTAGAGAATTTAAAATACTTGATTCCAATCATCAAGATAAAGTGAACAGAAAATTAAAATAAAAAGACTGCTCTTCTTTATAGAAAATTGATAAGGAGTAATCAGAAAAAAATTGTATAATAATTGATGACAAAGACTAATTAGATAGATATTTTAATTGTTAAGATAAAAATGCTATTGAAATAGAAGATGATCCTTTAATTAAAAAAGAGGAGTTAGTAAAATCAAAATAAAACCAAATTTAAAATGACTTAAATTTTGTGAAGAAGAAAAGTGATATAAATTTAAAATTAGAAGCAAAAATTGAAGTAGAATAAGCAAAATTAGAATATTAAAAAGAAGAATAATTTTTATGCAATGAAATGATTTCTCCGGTTTAAAGATATTATTTTCATGAAAATCAATCACCTAATATTTTTCATTCTCCTTGTTTTAATTATTGCTCCCCTCTAGCAAAATAATTTTTTAATAATTTTGAATTTGATTAATAAGAAATTGAATCACCTGATAGATAGTTTTTATAATTTCAACCTCCTCATAACTTCAATTGATTTTAGTATTTTTATATAATTAGTAATTGCTTCATTTATATACCATTAATTGATATCAATAAAATGTACACAAAAATAATATTCATATTTTAAAAATCTGAGAAAAGTTTCTAATGCTTTTTCGATATTCATTAATTTAATTACAACTAGCCATATTCACTTGATTAGCTTAATTTAAGTATTTTTCTTGAGTACTAACAAACCAGGATTTTTTTGCTTCATGCATTAATCTTTATTTTTCATTTTTTGACTTTATACATTAATTATCTAATTCAACTAAATACTCTCTATCAATCTCTGCTTCATAATTCTTTTTAAAAAGCTCGTCTTTCCTTAAATATTCATCTCTAGCAAAGAACTTCTAACCCAAAATCTAATTAATGAAAACTATATATACTTCTGTTTCTAACATATTTCGATATGTACTATCTTTCTCGAATTAATGATAAGGTTTTTCAGAAAAAGCATAGTTTAGAAATTGAGTTATTGAACTTCCAAAGAAAATATAGATAAAAATCAGATAACATGAAATTTGTATCCAATTAGTTCCTCTTTAAATTTGTCTTCTTTAATTCTAAAATTCTTATTGATCGAAATCTTATCTTCTATGATTTTATTAATGTTGACCACGATTCCTTCTAGGACCGGTAGAATAATAAAACATTCCAGGACTTTATTGAACAAATTAAAATCCTCCAAAACCATTTCCAAATCCAGCACCAAACCCATTCTCAAATAGATCATCAAACCCTCCATTTTATGAAAAGAAAGTTCGAAATATTTATTCAGCCGGACTTTCTCCCCATTATTGTCTGTAATGCTGATAATGTTATTCTGGTTCCTCAGTCCCATATTAATCATAAGTTCTTCTTTTATCTTAATTTGATAGACAATCATAAGCCTAAGTAATGCTATCTATTTACTTAAGCAACTTTCTTAAAGGCCTCATTAGCACTAGGATTCTTATTTTTATCTGGATGGTAAAGCAAAGCTAATTTACGATATGCCTTTTTTAATTCATCATCTGTAGCAGTCTTTGAAACACCTAAAATCTCATAAAAATCCTTTTTTTTAAGAAATTCCTTAATATCTGCTTCTGTAGACATATATTAAATATATTTATAAGTAATTCAATGCTATTGAAATGGAATTTTTGATTTCTTGGCAGAATCACTCCGTTTCAGTAGGAAGTATTTCTAATAATATAATAAAAATGATACATTAGTTTACCGATTTAAACTAGCAACCTAAGTAGAAATCTATTACGCAATTTATTTTGAAGAATCATCACCTGGAAGAGTGTTGATCTGAGTTCTATATCTTAATTAAGCAGTCTTTGAGCTATTGTTATTCTAATTTTTTAGATGGGTTTAACTTGCTTTACGAGAGTTTGACAATGATCTGCTTACAGGAATTGCGGTTTTTAATTATTATGAAGTTGTGAGATTTAGCAATTTAGGTTCATCATAAACTTTATTGCTAATATGATACTTCTACTTCAGAGTAGTAATTGGTGTGTGTTTTTATTTTAACTTTTCTTAAGTGAGCTTAGCTTATTAATTTAAAATTTAATTCATTAGAATTTCAACTCTCTATTTTATATCTAATTAGGGTTAGAGAATTTTATTTTTCTTAATAAAGAGCTGTTATTATTGTTTAGGTGAAATTTCTATTTCTTCTTATTATGTTTCAACCTTTTTTTCAGTTTCATATTAAGTGACAGAATGTTTTTAAGGAAATAGAATTTGTTTTTTGGCTGTTAAAGATTATTAGAGTTTTGTAATTGTTGAATTGGGTTGATTCATTTTTTTTAATGGTTCTTTTGTTTACTTATTTAATATAGGGACTTTGACAATAATCACAACTTTATTCGAGAGTGTGGCCTTATTATTAAATGCATGTGGTTTTAGCAATTTAGTATGATATTCAACTTCTTCATCTTCAGGCTAATTTAATGATTGATATAAAATACGATTGATTGCTTATCTACACCATAAAGTTTTTGATAAACCTAATAGATCTAAGAGAAAATTAAACTTGAATGTGGAACAAATGTATAAAACATTTCCAAGGCTTTTCCTAACCAAATTTCTATGTTCATTTTATTTTGTTGATTATTCATAAATCTTAATTCGGTTGAAATACTATAAAAACTTAAACCAGTTAGCATAATCTAAAAAATGTTAGTAAATGAAGTACCAACTCTAAAATTACTTCTTCTGCCAAAACCATTTCATGACTATTGATAGGAAATAATTCCTCTAAATCTACATTTGTTAACTGCATTAATCCTAATATTTGCATTTACAACATAGGATGATTGTCTTCAATAATTGTGAATAGTTTATTTTATTAATTATTCGTTTGAGTCTAAAAGATTTACTCTGTTGAAAATAAAGATTAACTTCTATTTTAATGATTACGAACTAACAAATTATTTTAACTACCATTTTCATTTTACTTCTCATCATAAGGCATAACACTCCTTATAGAATTCAAAATTTCCTTAAAAACTATTTCCACTATCTAAGGATAGCTCAATGCTTAAGGTTATTATTAAGGTTAGCTAATAGACTGAGATTGTAAATTTTTTTAAATGGGTGAATTGATTTCTGAATTAGCTCTTTATTTTTTATTAATATTGTTGAATAGAGCTATTTGTTAACATAATTTGATTGTCGATTAAATAATGTTTCTTAAAACCTTTAAAGCATCTTTAGCTATGTCTAAGGCCTATTTATTTCTTATCTAAAAATTGTAATGATTACCTTTTAGTCTCTGAAAATAATAAGGTAATTTAAAACATTATTCTCAATCTAAGTAGTTTATTTTATATCATTCTAGCTATTTAGAGAGTATCAAATGTCCCTTTTTTTAAAGTTTTCCCCTTAATTTTTAGAATCTGTTCACAATCTAACAATAAACTTAAGGATTCATCATATGCTGCATATCTCTTCAATATAATCGCATAATTAATTTTAGAGAATAGGACAGATGTATATTAAACTTATATTCTATGTAATGAGAATTAATTACTAATGTAAAGTATAAAATTCTAATAATTTTGCAGCTCTGTTGTGGAATTCCAAAGCTTAAAAATCTGAGATATCCTCTTGAATAGCTATTTTAGTGAAGTCATTCATAATGAAATCTGGATTATCAGGCTTGATTACTATTATTTCTTATGAATCTTCAGTCTGTTGGATTAGATTTTTTTATATACTTGAATCAAGAAGTTCGAATCATTATTTATCTATTCTCTCCTGAAAGTAATTTTCTTTTGCCTTACCATATAAATAGGAGATTTATCTTATATCATAGCAGGTTGAGATACATTTTTGTTGTGAAATGTATGTGCTTCTAATTTAATCATTAATATTTTATATATATATATATTTTATGTTATCTGAAAGGTTATCAAAATGTTCTTTTAACCATGATATTATAGAAGTCTTCTCTTGTAATTTCTCTGCCATTTGAAGCTGCACGTTCCAACATTTCACCCAATTCTTCAGCCGTCATAGTTTCACCAAGTTCTTTGGCTACCTAACTTATCAATTCTCATTTTACTCTTTTCAAATTATTCAAGTTGATACTATTACTTCCATCATCATCAAATAAATCAAATATTTTATTGATTCCATCTTTACTCTCTCTATTACCCAACTTTGATGTAATTGCATCTAAAAATTAATCAAAGTCAATGTCTGTTCTATTTTTTATCTTACACTAAATACCCTTCATTTTCTAGTTCTGCAATCATGTTGAAAATTGTGGGATTTTTTTAATCAAATCCTAAACTCTACATAGCAGCCTTCAATTCTCTTGGATCTACTCTTCCAGTACCCTCAGTATCAAAAAGATTGAATGCTTCTCTGATTTCATCTATTTCATCATCAGTCAATCCTGGCCTATTAAACTAAATGAACATCAATACCTTTCCTGAGGTTTGCGTACATTGCCTTGCTTTTAAGGCTACTGTTTTTGAGCTACTTAAGCTTAAGGTTTGCCTCTCATATCTTTTAATTAAAATATATATATATATATAAATAAATAGTAAATGAAGCAAATAACTTTCACGACATTATCATCAAATTTTATAACGAATTTTTTTCTTCCTCCTCAAAAGGACTATTATCCTAAAATTAATCATAGCCTATCTAATCTTTAAATATTAGACAATAAATCTTACCATTTGAAGGTTTTTCAAAATTAAAATTTCTTTGATCTTCATCAAGATTACTAACACTATTAAATCTCTAATATTGTCGCTCTTCTCCAAAATGCATTTTCACATAAGTTGAAGCTTTCTTTGTTTTTCTTGTATCTGCCTCAATACTCTCCTCATCTTCATCATCTTGTCCTTCCCAAATTGTTTCTGGGATCAAACTTTGTATAGATTTGGCTTTTGAAAATTGTTACTGTGTGGCAATCTTCTTAGGTTTCTACTATTATTATTGAGGCAAAGGTATTTTAGCCTTGTACTACAAGCTCTTTCCTGTGGCATTCAAAAAATCTAAAAAAAAATCATTATTTCCAAATTGATTGGCTATTGCTTTCAAAAATAAATCTAATTGTTTTCTTCGGTTATCTATGTCTTATGAATTTAAGTATTAAGTCATTTAAGGAAATTGGGGGAAATCTAATTTTGGATATGTTAAAGTGATATCTCTGTGAAATGTTAAAAAATCACTGAAGGATCGAAATACTATTTTATGTTTCCCTTAATACTTGAAAGTAATTTCATAAATGATATATTTTCGTTATGTGTTTATATCTTTGTTGTCCTAATAAGAATTCACTTCAACATCTGTTATCTATGGTTACAATTAATCACATGGTTAGCAAAATGTAAAGTTGGATTCATTTGTTATTAGTTATTACCTTATTATCTAGGGTTCCTCTTCATTACCAAGCATTTATAGCTTATATTTATATTCTGATACAACAGTCTATAAAAGCTTTATGTCTTATGGCATAAAGAACACAATCACTGAAAATAGCAAGAGTGCTACTCCTCTAAGGATGAACATAAGCCAACAGCTGATATCTTCATGTTTTATTACATATTTATCTTTGTTATATATCTACCAAATAAACAAGAAAATAGCGAATCCACAAAAACAAAGAAATTGAAGCTAAATAGAAATTTCATAAAATACTATGAGGTTGATTTGAGTAGCAATTGTTGTTTATCCATACTTGTCGGCATCTTCAAATATTTGTAATCCTGCTAACAAATAATTTATTATCTAACAAAACTCTATAATTGTTATCAACACATAACTAATCTAATAGGAAAGCATACTCTGAATGAAATTAAGTGTTGACAATTATTTGTAATATTGACAAAAGTGTAAACATACTCAAGATAGCTATTTTTGTAAAAATTGAACATTAATTCAGAATGAATATTTTCCTTTTTCCATTAAATTATAACCTTGCCACTCTGTAATCTATGTATAGATTCACTAATCTTACTCTTATTTTACTTCTTCCATGCCAAACTTGCGAAATTATAAAGCAGAGGTAAAACTCCAAAACAAATTACAAATATGTTTTCCCAAATATTATCAAAATACTTAGCCATATTATAATAAATCAAAAAAAATTTGATATATCATGTTAATATTGGTAAAAGTTTCAATATTGCTAATATAAATTGATTATTTTTCCCTACTCAAGAATAATGACTTTATACAATACAACTATTTTTGCCATAAATTTCAATTGTACTATAACTGTGAGCATTAAATAAATCTTTGAAATTCAAAATACGAATATAACAACTCAACAACTCTCCAGATAAAAAAAATTTAGAATTACAACTTCAGCTTTAGGCTAAATTAGTCAAGGATGCTTTAGGCACAATTTATGTTAGTAGAAACACTTTAGATAGTAATTTGCATTTCTATTAACCGGCTAAAGATACTCTTTTCTTTATTCGCATAATTTTAAAACTGTTATTATGATCTTACTATGATTTGTTATATATTTATACTTTAATTATAATAATCAAAACACCTTTTAAATAATTGAAAAATTGTTGCACTAAAATGTGATAGGCAACAAATTTGCTTCTTACAGATTATGCCAATCCATTAATAGCATTATAAATAGAAATAATCGAGATTCTTACTGCTCAAAATTTTTAGATATGCAAAGTAACAATAATCCATATAAAATAACTGAGTTTAGGAAGAGACCTAAAGGAATTTATAAAATGGAAGGTACTATAAATTTAAATTTAGAGTTATTCCAGAAAATTAAGCTTTTAAGATCATAAATGAATAATTATTAGAAATCAAGACTCTACTGAAAATTGAAATCATACATAGAAATATCAACCAGCTAATTTTTTAATGCAGGATAATCAATTCGGATTAGCTAAACGAATTTATTCTAACTAAAAAAAAATGAAATTATAGGTTGGCAGTTCATCGTAAATGAGTGCTCAGATCTTGAAACGAACTAAAAATTAATCCCAATACGATGTTTAGTCATTAGATTACAAATTCTTAGAATAAATAGCGGATTGAATCATTATGCCGATAGATAAATAAAAATAACAGAAGTTTTAGCAATACAGTTTTACTGAATAATGATATTTTCACGAAATTTGCAAATAAAACCCCAATTTAGGAAAAATAGAATAGACAACGGGTTATTTAAACTTGAAAGAAAAACTTGAGACAAAAAAAATTTAAAGAAGTTGCTCCTAAAAGTCAAAAATTCTTCCAAAAAGATCAAACTAAATAATTAAATTAACAAAAGGATTTAATCAATTATAATCAATTATAATCAAAATATAAAATCTACACCAATTAAGATTTGAGAAATAAATGTACTTATAAATAATCTAATTACATATGCAGGTTATAGTTCAGGAGAACACTCAAATATACAATCATAAGTTTTGTTATTGCATAGATATCATATAGTGTTCATTTTCAAACTAAAATCAATCCTTAAACATGGATGCAAATGGAATAAAATCAATTAAAAGAATATAACTAATTTAAGTAGAATTAGATGAATGGTGATTCAAAATAGGTTAGAGAATAAAAACATTAATTCATATGTTTCATTAATTTTAATTTTATTTTTTTTAGTTTATAGATCAAATGATGTCACATAATTTCTCTATTTAACTAAATTGTGTTTTCTAATAATTATTAATATATTAAAACAATGAGAGCATTTTGCTTAGTTGGATTGGTTATATTAGCTTCAATATCTACAACTTTGGCCACTAAAGGTATCGATTTGAGTGCCTCATTCAATAACTTTTCTTGTGTTAAAAATGCTGGATATTCTTTTGCTATCGTCAGAGGATACAAGAGTTATGGCGAAGTAGATACCGTAGGCCACTAAAATCTTAAGAATGCCAAAGCTGCTGGTTTAATTGGAGATGCCTATTTTTTCCCTTGCAAAGGAAGTAATAATTATATTTATCATTAATAGAAAAGACTGCTTCTGCTTAAGTAACTGAATTTGATAATGTATTTGGTTCAGAATACGGGACAGTTTGGATTGATGTAGAATCTAACCCAAGTACTGGATGTGGATGGAGTAGTTCTGATCATACAGGAAATTGCCAATTTTTATAAGATATTGTGAATGCATTTACTGCCAAGAAGAGATTAGTAGGAATCTATGCTTCTTAATATTAATGGTCAACTATAATGGGATCAGCTTCATCATGTGCAAAATTTACTTCTCATCCTCTTTGGTATGCTCATTATGATAACAATCCTTCCTTCAGTGATTATCCAAAATACGCTTTGGGTGGATGGACTACACCATCTATCAAATAATATGTAGGTGACACAACTTTATGTTCTGTTGGAGTCGATTTGAATTTCTATTGAATAACAACATATTTTAATAATATATATCTTAAAATAAGAATAATTAAGTTGATCTCTAAATAACACATTAGAAATATTTAAATCCAATCAGAAAAGTATATATAAAAAATACATGAATATTAATAATTATCATCATTATGAATCCAAATTCCCTTATGCTAAATATTTTAACGACAAATTAAATGAACAGGCAGCTAGTATAAAATTTATTGGTAAGTAAATTATTGTACTATAATAAGAGATATAATTTAAAATTGAATTTCCAAATAACTGCTAAGCAAGAATAAGATTTTTTCTCCACCAATCTTCCTAAAAATGATACCATTTATTTTACATAATTGATTAGTAACCAAATAGAATCAAAGATACATTAAACTAATATTATCAAAGATATTTATGCTAAAATCTTGATTGTCTTTATGTAATTGATTCTATATGCCCAAACTAACATGCCAATAGACATAGTTGATGTTAGTTATTAAAAGCAAGGCCTTGCCATTGATACAAAAATCAAAGAAAAAATAGATGTTATTGAACTTAAAATTATCACAACTCTTTACCATTCCTCTATCGTGTCTTGATGTTCTCCTTTTCGTATATATTAACTTAATACTTTTTAATTATTTTGCCAATTTATACATATTATCTTAGTACTTAATTTTCCAATCATATTCTTCGCTTTGTTATAAAGTGGGTTATAAGAATTACTCTTGAGTATTTGCGATATGAGGCACTCGTTAAATTCTGGATTTATTAAATGTAAATGTTAAAGCATCCAATAGATAATTAGCCTTATCAACAATTAGTTATTGTTCCTCAATTTCTTTACTGAATTGGTTCACATTTGCTATATGATCTTCTAATAAGGCTACTTTACTATGAACCCATAGTATAGTTAAATTTAATTTTAGTTTTGAATTTATTAAAACGCCGTATTCATTTTCCAAAATGTAATCCTGTGTATGAGGTTATTAATCTTTGTACTAATACAAAGGAAGTTACAACTATCCTATCAAATGTTACTCTGCATCAAACAATCCTACAAAGATCTAACCATGAGGTGATGGAACATGACTATTCTACTTAGTTGAAAATATTTACATCTAATAATCCTCACTCCATATAGGATGAATAGTCATATCAGAGAATTTAGTTTTTTGTTAAAAATTAAACAATGTTATCAAAATATAGTATTTTGCCATTTTCAAACATTCACCATGTGAAACTGTAATAAATAAAGTGCTATCATTATCTATTTCATATTCATTTTGTTTTTCATCTTTCCTTGCTTATTATAATTCATCTTATAATTTTTTATACTCACTTCTATACACTAGAATTTAATTAATTGAATCTTATTTCATTTAAGTCAAATTTTAATATTCTTTAAATGTCATCTCAACAAAATCATTTATTGTAAAATAGTACCCTTGGGAATGAGTTGGATGATTTGATCTAATTCTTTCAATTAATTCATTTGGAAACTCTCTTCCAATCTTAAACCCTATTTTCAATGAATACCAATTAGTTAATAAATTGAATCAAATCCTGTAGGGAATATTCTTGATTAGCTTCAAACTTTCCTTATTTGAAAATTTGATAAATAACATCTGTTTATATTTAATTCATATTATATTAATAAATTAATATTTTAGTTAGCATATAATGAATTAAAAAAATCTTTCAAATGAGATAAGGAGTAATTCAAAACTTCATCTTTAGAAATCAAATACCATTAACTTGTAGTGCTTCTAATTAATTTAATATATTGGAAACTTTATGTTGAATGCTTATATTATACAGAAATTAAAAGTCATCTGAATTATTTATATGGGGAATTATTAGATCCATGTTTAAAACTTGTCACATTAGATTGAAAAAGGTAGAAAAATTTTGTAGTTAAGAAAATGAGTATTTTTTTAATGAAAAAATAAAGAAAGAAAATGAAATAGATTTTGATAGAATTAAATACTATTTACCAACCTATTAAAAATAATAATTAAGTTTATTGATTTTAAACAGTTTCGTCTGATGTTCGAGCATCAGAAAAGAGTTTTATGTGACAATATTGAGCCTGATATTTTAAATGATTAAAAAATAAGAAATTTCAAATATTCTAATGTTTCTTTCAAAATCAGATGCAATTTGAGGTTTAAAAATTTCTTTTTAGGAAATAAATTATTGTTGAATTTTAATAAAATGAATGTAAATTTTAATAACAAAAATGCATTAGAATCGATATAGAGCTTAAATTAATCATAATAAAATGATTATTAGATAGTTATTTCTTTTAATTTGAATGAGGTGAGCTTTAAAATGTTAAATCTTACAATAAAATTTTCCTACTTGTTGATTAATATATCTTATTAGTGTTATTATTATATGAGATTCTTTTATATCAATTAATGAATAATAATAAAAAGTTATCGAAATATTACCTCTAATAGGGTACTTTTTTTTAAAAATGATTCAATCTATCTGTTTTCACTTTGTTATGGTATAATTGGTTCTAGGATTAATTTTATTTTTAAATTATTGACATATCTTTTATTATTTTTGTTATTGAATAAAATTATAAGTAATTTTTTTCATCTTTACTAATTAGGTACTAAGTAACTAAATAATATAACTAATATTAATTATAACAATGAAAACTAATCCACTTTATAAATAATAATAAATTAAGTAAAATTATCAAAATATCCTACATGATATCAAAAGAGTAGCCTTATCTTCATATGCTTTTTTACTTTAAATTATTATTTCACTTTCTGTTAGCCTATTTGCTGTTTTCACTGTTCTTAAATGAGTATTTAATTATTTATTTAATGAAGCATCATTCTTATTTAAGTCTTTACAAATAATCATTGATGATAGTTTTTATGAAATCTAAATAATTATTGCTTACANATGTTGAATGCTTATATTATACAGAAATTAAAAGTCATCTGAATTATTTATATGGGGAATTATTAGATCCATGTTTAAAACTTGTCACATTAGATTGAAAAAGGTAGAAAAATTTTGTAGTTAAGAAAATGAGTATTTTTTTAATGAAAAAATAAAGAAAGAAAATGAAATAGATTTTGATAGAATTAAATACTATTTACCAACCTATTAAAAATAATAATTAAGTTTATTGATTTTAAACAGTTTCGTCTGATGTTCGAGCATCAGAAAAGAGTTTTATGTGACAATATTGAGCCTGATATTTTAAATGATTAAAAAATAAGAAATTTCAAATATTCTAATGTTTCTTTCAAAATCAGATGCAATTTGAGGTTTAAAAATTTCTTTTTAGGAAATAAATTATTGTTGAATTTTAATAAAATGAATGTAAATTTTAATAACAAAAATGCATTAGAATCGATATAGAGCTTAAATTAATCATAATAAAATGATTATTAGATAGTTATTTCTTTTAATTTGAATGAGGTGAGCTTTAAAATGTTAAATCTTACAATAAAATTTTCCTACTTGTTGATTAATATATCTTATTAGTGTTATTATTATATGAGATTCTTTTATATCAATTAATGAATAATAATAAAAAGTTATCGAAATATTACCTCTAATAGGGTACTTTTTTTTAAAAATGATTCAATCTATCTGTTTTCACTTTGTTATGGTATAATTGGTTCTAGGATTAATTTTATTTTTAAATTATTGACATATCTTTTATTATTTTTGTTATTGAATAAAATTATAAGTAATTTTTTTCATCTTTACTAATTAGGTACTAAGTAACTAAATAATATAACTAATATTAATTATAACAATGAAAACTAATCCACTTTATAAATAATAATAAATTAAGTAAAATTATCAAAATATCCTACATGATATCAAAAGAGTAGCCTTATCTTCATATGCTTTTTTACTTTAAATTATTATTTCACTTTCTGTTAGCCTATTTGCTGTTTTCACTGTTCTTAAATGAGTATTTAATTATTTATTTAATGAAGCATCATTCTTATTTAAGTCTTTACAAATAATCATTGATGATAGTTTTTATGAAATCTAAATAATTATTGCTTACACTCGAACATAAAATTTATAATATCTAAGTAAAGGAGGTGTACATTCAACTAAAAATGATATAATTTTAGAAAAATTTCCACTTATTTATCTAAAAAACAAAGATGAGAAGCCAAACTAGTGAGAAAATATTAATAAAATATTAAAAATTAATTGTAATTATAATTTTATTGATATTGATAATAGTCAAATTCACTTTTACTATAAGCTTTCCAAAAAGCAACTACCCTTTTGTTTAAATAATGTCTTTAAATCAATACCTGATTGATTTATAAACTCCCCTTTCAGAATTTTAGCTTCTTAAGCTTAGAAAATTGCCTTTTAGGATATAATGAGTGTTGTTATATAATTGAAGGCTTAAAATAGGAAAATAAATACCACTTTCTTAATTCGAACTATTTTATTGAAATTTTTTAGCATGCCACAGACGTATAGTGTTATCCAAACTACCAGAAACTAATTTATTTCCATCAGGAGAATAACAGACAGTCATAACAGGCTCACTATGACCATCTAATTTGGCTTTTTATTATCCTGTTTTGACATTCCAAATACGGATAGACTTATCTCCACTACAAGAAGCCAATGTGTTTCCATCAGGAGAAAAAAAGACTGAGTAGACAGTGCTAGTATGACCATCTAATTTGGCTTTTTATTATCCTGTTTTGACATCCCATAGATGGATAGACTTATCCCAACTACCAGAAGCTAATGTATTTCCATCAGGAGAATAACAGACAGTCATAACAGGCTCACTATGACCATCTAATTTGGCTTTTTATTATCCTGTTTTGACATTCCAAATACGGATAGACTTATCATCACTACCAGAAGCTAATGTGGTTCCATCAAGAGAGAAACAGACTGAATTGATACCATTACTATGACCATCCAATTTGGCTTTTTATGATCCTGTTTTGACATCCCAAAGACGGATTGATTTATCATCACTACCAGAAGCGAATATATTTCCATCAGGAGAGAAACAGACCGACTAAACCTATCCACTATGACCATCTAATTTGGTTTTCTATTAACCTGTTTTGACATCCCATAGACGGATTGATTTATCATCACTACCAGAAGCTAATGTGGTTCCATCAAGAGAGAAACAGACTGAATTGATACCATTACTATGACCATCCAATTTGGCTTTTTATTATCCTGTTTTGACATCCCATAAACGGATACACTTATCTTCACTTGCAGATGCTAATGTATATCCATCAGGAGAGAAACAGATTTAGTTAACTTACGAATCATGACGATGTAATTTAGCTTTTTCATATCCTGTTTTGATATCCCATAGACGGATTGACTTATCTTCACTTGCAGATGCTAATATATTTCCATCAGGAAAGAAACAGACTTAGTTAACTTTCAAATCATGACCCATAAATTTTGCTTTTTATTATCCTGTGCTAACATCCCATAGACAGATAGAGCTATCCTTACCAAAACTATCTCCGCTACTAGAAGCTAATGTATTTCCGTCAATTGAGAAACTGACTGACACAACAAATCCACTATGTCCATCCAATTTGGCTTTCTATTATCCTGTTTTAACATCCCAAAGACGAATTGAGCTATCATCACTACCTGAAGCCAATGTGTTTCCATCAGGAGAGATACAAACTGATCGAACAGTATCATTATGACCCTCGAATTTGGCTTTTGATTATCTTGTTTTGACATCCCACAGACGGATAGTGTTATCCCAACTACCAGAAGCTAATGTATTTCCATCAGGAGAATAACAGACAGTCATAACAGGCTCACTATGTCCATCTAATTTGGCATTTTATTATCCTGTTTTGACATCCCAAATACGGATAGACTTATCTCCACTACAAGAAGCCAATGTGTTTCCATCAGGAGAGAAACAGACTGACATAACATAATGAGTATGACCATCTAATTTTGCTTTTTATTATCCTGTTTTGACATCCCATAGACGGATAGAATTATCCCAACTACAAGATGCTAATGTATTTCCAACAGGAGAGAAACAGACTGACATTATAAAATTAGTATGACCTTTTAATGTGTCTTTTAATTATCCTGTTTTGACATCCCATATTTTTATAGACTTATCACCATCTCCATAAATACTACCTCCACCAGATGCCAATGTATTTCCATCTGGTGAGATACATACAGATGAAACTGGTCCAACATGACCATCCAATTTATTCAATTCATGGATTTTAATATTCTTCCATTTACAATTGTGTAGTTAAGCACCATTCAAATTCACTCCGCTAATATCTACATTATTAAATTCTGATCCACTTAAGTTGCATCGCACAAAATTTCCTCCAATTAAAATTGTATTTTATATTCTAATATTCTCAAAGCATTAATTGTCTAGATCAGCTTTTAGTTCAACTAATAGACTAAGGGCGTTTGATCCACATTAAATAAACTTACTATCAAAAGCTGTAAGATGAACAAAGAATTTTAAAAATTCTATGATTTTCTTATCTTATTGTATTTTGTTTATGAGATACTTTTCTTGATATAATTGTTTTGAGTAGTCTTTTTAACTAAAGTCATGTTGATTAATATTATTCATCAAGTTGTAAATCTACTTAATGTTCCGCAGTACGCATTGTAAATTCATTTCTTCATTGAAGTATTATTAATAAAGCTCATGATTATCATTTCTTGATAGAAATCCTATACAATCAGAGATTTTTTCGTTATTAAAAATCTTAATTAATATGGTCATTATTGATGAATCTAAATCTTACGATTACGCGATAATCTCATACAAATCCTCTTTGCATTTATAAACTTGTTCTTCCTATTAGGTGGATAATTTCATCCATTATGAATTAATTTCTAATTCAAGTTTCCGACAGTAATTCTTAAGATCTTCAAATATTTCCTAAGATTTCTAGATTTCTGGTAAGAATTTGAATTATTCCTATTTTTGGTCGAGTTTAAATTTACAATCGCTGTTGATTTTTTGAATGCTTTCAATAATATTTTTTGGATTTGTAATTGGTCTATGTTTTTAGGTTAAGAAATCTAATTCTTCAAGAAAACTGTATTAACTTATAGAATTAATTAATTAATTGATCCAATATTTCAATAGCATAAGCTAATCATCAAGTGATTGAATAAATTTTGTTTTTACAGAGTCTATAATGTTCTAAACCTTTTCAATGTTATCTATGTGAATCTAGACTATCTATTAATATTATGAAATCCTATCCTTTTATTAGTTATCAAAATCTTATTTAAGCTACTGATAATCCACGATCTTAGCATTCGATGGATTCTATTAGCAGCATGATTTGCATAAGAGCCTTTGATTTGTTGATAATTAAGAATCCAGGTTCACATATTCTATTTATTATAGATGCTATTCGCATAACAAATTTTTTTCTTTTTCTATTACTTTTGGTTGATAAAAGGACATTAAATTAAATAATTAAAAAATAATTTTGGATTCTTCCCTTTTAAAGGAAGTTTTTATAAAAAGATATCATGCAACATTTTTAATTTCGACATAATAACACAAAGGTGTTAAATACCCATCTCTTTAATTATAGATGGATTTATTATTATAATAATTGATCATCATCTTGTGAACCTAATTATTGAGCATAAATCTATTAATATGAAATGATCAACTAAACTCGAAATTCTCTAATAAAAGTTCTTCAAATTATATACTTATGGATATTTTGCTCAAATGAAGTGTTCAAGAGATCTTTTCAATTAAAACTATTTCATTGGGTTGGAAAAAAAATATCATTTTTTTTAAATTATGTCTTGCCTATTTCAGATAAAAATTCTTATTTGCTATCAAATCTAAATTTTTTAGTCATTTCTTAGCATGATGCTTTCAGTTTTGGAGAGCATGGAGTTAAAATTCTCTGTTTGTCTTGAGTTGACTAAACTATTGATAATGTCACTTAATCTTTGATTTTGGATAGCATATTCTATATCCACTTGAATTTCTTAAGGCAATCAACGCACAGTTTTCTTTAGCATTAAATTCGAAACAATATACGCCTATCTTTTTGGATAAACCACATGCTTTGCATAATTCATAGTCTCTTCTTTAAATATTGAATTATTATTACTTTACTTTAAGGTTTATATTAAACATGAATAAAAGCTGCTTATTGAATTTATTTGTAATTGAAGTAAAGATGCAATCAATTCAAAATTGCAAAACATTATATCCATTTGGTGACTATATAGAATAGGTAGTTTTTTAGATTCTTGAAATCTTATGATATTTATATTGATTTTAAACCTTATGTACGTAACATAGTTTGTAAAAGAACAAAAATTTTTAACAATCTTAATTAATTCAGATTATATTTTGTATAAAAATTTATATTCTTTTTGTGAATACTAGTTTTTCTTATTATTATGCCAAGCGGCTCATGGTGAAGCCAAACCTCCTATGCATTCCATCCCTTGTTTAAATAGAGGCTTATGGATATATTAAGAAAGAATACTATGTTAAAGTCATACACTGTTCAAGTAGAGTGGCTGAGATATCCTTTTACATTTATTCACTAGATGTTTAGCCAGCAATTTTTATGAATCCTAAAAATTTTCAACATTTTTAAGAAATGGATGTGATGGTTGTTGCTATCTATTTTGTTGTTCTCAACTTTTAATTGATGTGTGAAATACGTGTATGCACTTTATTTTTTATTTACATGCTACATATGATAGATGATTTTATAAGAAGGGGTTGGATGTATTTAAAAAAATATAAATTGCTCCTAAGAAAACCCAAAGGCTAAGGGGGGTGTTGTAAAAATCGAAGATGTTCTATTTGAGAATTGCATACACATTTTTGAAGTAATTTTTGATAAGGTGTTGCGCTTTTGCCTGTTACCAGATTTGATGAAATCCTAAGGAGTTAATCAGTGTGCTTAGAATTATACCCTCTATAATTTCATGTATGACTTATTGATATTTATGAAAAATCTATTTTTTATATAAGTGACCCAAAGGAAATTGTGGTGCAAATAANTATTATTACTTTACTTTAAGGTTTATATTAAACATGAATAAAAGCTGCTTATTGAATTTATTTGTAATTGAAGTAAAGATGCAATCAATTCAAAATTGCAAAACATTATATCCATTTGGTGACTATATAGAATAGGTAGTTTTTTAGATTCTTGAAATCTTATGATATTTATATTGATTTTAAACCTTATGTACGTAACATAGTTTGTAAAAGAACAAAAATTTTTAACAATCTTAATTAATTCAGATTATATTTTGTATAAAAATTTATATTCTTTTTGTGAATACTAGTTTTTCTTATTATTATGCCAAGCGGCTCATGGTGAAGCCAAACCTCCTATGCATTCCATCCCTTGTTTAAATAGAGGCTTATGGATATATTAAGAAAGAATACTATGTTAAAGTCATACACTGTTCAAGTAGAGTGGCTGAGATATCCTTTTACATTTATTCACTAGATGTTTAGCCAGCAATTTTTATGAATCCTAAAAATTTTCAACATTTTTAAGAAATGGATGTGATGGTTGTTGCTATCTATTTTGTTGTTCTCAACTTTTAATTGATGTGTGAAATACGTGTATGCACTTTATTTTTTATTTACATGCTACATATGATAGATGATTTTATAAGAAGGGGTTGGATGTATTTAAAAAAATATAAATTGCTCCTAAGAAAACCCAAAGGCTAAGGGGGGTGTTGTAAAAATCGAAGATGTTCTATTTGAGAATTGCATACACATTTTTGAAGTAATTTTTGATAAGGTGTTGCGCTTTTGCCTGTTACCAGATTTGATGAAATCCTAAGGAGTTAATCAGTGTGCTTAGAATTATACCCTCTATAATTTCATGTATGACTTATTGATATTTATGAAAAATCTATTTTTTATATAAGTGACCCAAAGGAAATTGTGGTGCAAATAATTCAACTTAGGAACTCTAGAAATGAACTTATGGAGAATCTGTAAAATAAATTCCTAATTAATGGGGCATAGCATTTCATTTAATTATATAACTCATTTATCAATAAACATAGATTATAATGATTCCCTATTAGAAATAAATCAATGATATGCATTTTCTACTTATATATTCTAATAGAATAATAGCTTAAATTCCTATTATCATTACAGTTCGGCAATTAAATATTTAAAATGAAGTAATTTTAATGAAAATTATTTAAATAAAATATTATTATTATTTTATTTTTTCTGGTTAAGTAGAAACAGAGAGTATCAAATTATCATATTCACTAATGATTTTTAGATTATGGTAGTCTCGAAATACTCTCTCTTCTCTTTTCCTCTTATGTTACTATTGAGCAAAACTACAAAACTTTAATACCAAGACATGTTTTACTGTTGTATTGTCCAATTTTTTTTCGCAAATGTTCCAATAATTCTCTACACTGGGTATCTGATGCTGTTCGGGATACTGGATTTCTTTTTCGATTTCATAAGAATCCTAACTATTTCATTGGAAGTCTTTTTTTCACAGAATCTAATTCCCTTTTTTGAACGACTGATTTTCCAGTTTCACCAATTATTGTTTTATCGCCTTGAGATTCAAAGCTTTAATTGCTGGACTACAGAATCAATAATGAGTAATGAATATTTGCAAGATTCTGAATTTCTGCTTAATCTGCATTTTACTGATTATCAAAATAAAGCTTGATTGCTTATCTATTTAATCTTCCCTTCAGTATCTTAAGATATTCTTTCAATTACCCTTTGTTGTTGATGTATATTCCAAGATTTACATATGTTCTCTGCACTGGGTACTTATGGATCACAGGGTCTTTCAGTTTGGTGTGATTGCTTATAAAGAATACTTATCATTAATTTGAAGAGACCAATCCTAAGCTATTGCCTCCAATCTTTCAAAGTAGGTATTGATTCTTCTGTCCTTGAGTATGTATAATAAGTAGTCTGCATATCCCATGACTTTGAAATCCAGATTCTGCTTCTTGTCTTTTCATTCTTCAAAAAACTATCTAAGTAAAAGTTAAAAAGCTCAGGTGAGTTGCGAGAATCCTTTAATAATACTTCATTTTGGAACCAATTTCTGTCTCTTATTATTCTGGTCTTGATGTGAATGTTCAGGTGTAATTTTTCGAAAAAATTCAAACTCCGCATCTTCTAAAACTTTTCTCTGCCTTAGAATCTTGTATAATCGTTCTCTGTTGAATGTGTTGTAAGCCCTAGAGATGTCAATGAAAATTAAATTTATTTTTCTTTTCAACTTACCATTAAACATTTTTGTCATTTTGCTATTGTTTGCTTGCGTGCTTTTCCATCAGAGAGTCACTTGGCTGAAGTGCTGAAGACTGTAATTTTTCAGTTTCTAATTGAATCTGAGTCCCAAAAAATTTATACCGATGGCTCAAAAATATCATGGGTCTGAATTAGGACTGATTTTTTATTGAATGTAAAATTTGTTCAATGGCAGTCTGACTTCATTTAAGTGAATATTTGTCTCAAGAGTATTCCAATTCCAGATATCATTAAGTAGACTAAATTGCTTGGTCAGTTATCTCATATCCTGTCCTAAATAATTGCTTTATTTTTTGACATTCTCCTTTGCAGATCTACTGTCTCTAATTAATTAAGTTTTCTTAAGGAGTTCAACAGTATTTTTTTTCCACTTTCAAAGATTCTGCTTAATTTTTTGAAGAAGATTTTGATGGCTTCTGGAATTTAGTGAACTTTGGCATTTTTGTCAACATAGCAGTGATAATACAATCCTTCTTTTTTCTGCAGGTTCAAAATCATCAAACTCTTGATCTTTTTTTAATGTTTAAACTCTTTTGTCTCCTAAAGGGAAATCTTCTTCTGTAATTTCCTACATCTTTAGTTGCAATGAAGCCGTCAGATTTTGTTATACCATGACATTAAACCTGCCTATTTCTGAGCCAATTTCCTATTTAAATTAAAGGCTCTTTTATTTTTGTAGGAAACGATCTGATGCTTCTTGTTGTTGAGCTATTTAAATATAATTTCTAAATATATGAGAGATTGATCTGAAACTAATTAAAACTGCAATTAGTTTGATGCTGCAGTTAGTTTGAAGCTAAGACATGATATTCGAATTTTGATCTAATAAGTTGAAAAATTCAAGTGTTTCACTTTTGAAGTCTCCAAAAATGAAGATATGCGGACCAGGATTGACCTTGTCACTCCCTTTAGAGTTTATATGATCAACCTCTAGAAAGCCAAAGTCATAATTTGCAAAAAAGTGTAATTATAATTAATCAATAAAAAGAACACATTATTTAAATTATTTTAATAATAATCAAAGGCTAAGTTTCAATTTCTCACAAACTGCTTTTTAAACTATTTTTAAATCAAATTTTCATGCCAATCAGATGTTCTTTTAAATATAAATCATCAGTGCTTCAAAATTATAATTATAAACAAACAATTATTTAATTTCAATAAAAGTAGGAGTTCAAGAAAACTATTCAAAATAAATTCATTAGCTTTATGAAATAAAATTGATTTTTTGGATGAATCATCAAATACAACACTAAATTTAGATGAGGAGTTGATCAGTTATTATACTTTCAAAATAATCCAAGAAATGGATTAAATTAAAGAACTGTTAATTTATAATATTTAGTAAATACCAAGTATATTTAAATAATATAATTTAGCTTTCAATAATAAGAGTTTATTATTTTTGCATAATAAGCGTCATTTATATGCAACTCAATGCTGCTAACAAATTTTATATCATTAAACAGTATCAATTAGAGAGAAATTAAGGTTAAATTATAAGGATTAGTAATATTTAAGATTCTATATATTCTTTATTCTATGAACTAATGAAGTATTATAATAGAAATTTTTAGGAATTGAGATTTATATAACTATTCTTCAATAATTGTTAGTTCTTACATGCCAAACCATTTATAAGTATTCCCTAATTTATATTTATTTGAATATTTTTCTTTTTACTTTCAGCAGTACACCAACACTTTTAAAGGGTTAAAATTATCATACTACATAATATCTACAAATGGAAAGAAAGAGATAGTAGGAATAACATTGAATGGATAATTAGATTATTTCAGAAATATTTGATGTATTACAAATCAATTATTATTTTAATACTAATATTCTTTTAGTAAAGTTGGCTTAGAACCCTGATCAAAGATATAATTTAGATTAATGTAAAGAATTCAAGGAATAATAAAAAGATATATTTTAAAATAGAATTTAGATATTAAAGAATTTAAAGATTAAAAATGCATCATTTAAGTAAAAAAAATCCATATTTCAGAAGCATCCTTTGAAATGAATAAATTTAGATTAGCTTCATACCTTTTTCGATTTGAATTAATTATGATGAACATTAATAAATTGCCAAGATCTTTTATTAAATTTAAATAGATATTCAATGAATCAAATATCTAATCTAAGATAATTGTAATGACCTTTGAAAAGAAAGAAATTCAAAGAAATTGAATGGTTTTTTCATTTTTATCAGAAGCAGAATCTATATGAGAAAACACAAATAATTATTGATGTATTGAAATATTATGATGTTCAATTCTAATCTCTATAACCTTATTAAGATCTTAAGTATAGAATCCAACTTAATACTTTAAAGGAGGAGAATTGTTAAACTAAAAATATATATGCCCATTTTGGAGTTTTATAAACCAAATGAAATAAATGAATCATAAATACTCGATCTGTCTAATTATTTGATTCAATACATAATTTTTGATAATCTACTAATTAAGCTGTTATAATTGAACGAAATCTTGTATATTGACAAGTTTTACAAAATCTAATGATATTGGAACATACTCTCCATTATAAAGCACTTTGACAAAAGGCCCAATATTAATATTATTGTAAAGTTCCAATATAAAATTTACCACAAATTCTACATACTATTCATCATTTTATATATATTTACTTTAGTCATACATTTATTGTATATAATATTCTTTTTTTCAATAAATATCAGCTTACCATTAAGCGCTTGTTAAGTTTAAGACTGATAAAAAGCATCCAAATATTGCATCATGTGCAGACGAGCAAAATATTTAATGTATTAACTTCCATTTAAAGCAGAGTGAAAATATAACAATTTTAATTATATCACAATAAGCAATATTTTAAGCATAAGGGGCTTTTAATTTTGAAAGGAGAATTTATAAATCACTAATAGAAAGATAAAAGACCATTATTACAACTAAAGGTATTTGTATTTTGGAAAATTAAATAGAATTAAACATATAATTAATATAAATGATTATATGTTTGTGCATTAAAACTATTAATAGTACAACTAAGTTAATATACTTCATCTTTCAATATAATTATATCTTTTATATCTTTTAATCTTATAAATTTAAATATAATCATCAATTAAAATTAAGTTATTTTAAGTTTAATAGATAATGTAAGAATAGTTAATCGTTAAAGCATGCTTCTTTCGAGATTTTTTTGATTTTCTCTATTTTCAATTTCCCATTTAGTCATTAATTATTTGTACTTTTAGTATATTTAGTTAGTTCTACAAATTTATAATCCAATTCATTTTAGAGGGTTAATTTCATTTTTTAGAAAAGAAAAATTTCGTTTTTTTTTAAAGATTTAATATTATGGATGTGTATAAAACAATATCAATATTGGTCATTCTTTCGTATAAATTTTGGATAATTTCTTAATTTCAAAATGAATAAATTTGATTGTGAAATTTTACTAGATGATGAGTTCATAAAATAGATACAGTTTTTAAGCTTAAAAAGGTGAGGGATATTATTTTTTGTTTAGATATTAATTAATTTCGTGAAAATCCTCTTGAAGTTCACAATGATTATA